AAAGGATCAATATTGTGCCCATTGTTTGATTATGATTATTATTATACATTTTTTTGGTCAAAAAGATCTACTTGATTCTCTTCATTGATACAATAATAATATAAATTGACATTAAGATTGTTATCATCAGAGAAAAAAAAACCACTACCACCGTCATATCATTATCACTACCGTTGGAATAATGCAATGACATGACATTTACATTTCAAGACACATCACTAATAACAGCAGAAGCAGCAGCAGAACCCTCCAGTATAAACACAGGCAAATAGGTTTTTTTCTTATTATATGAAAAAATAAATAAAATTGAACAAAAACTGAATGTGAATGAATAATTCATCATCATCATATATCAAACATGATTGAATCGTTGTTTTTTTTTTTTGCTTTCTTAATCTTGTCTCACACAAAACAACTTAGACGAGAAAAAAAATCGATTCTGATTCAAAAAAAAAAAATGAAAAGAGAATGAAACGGAACATATTCGGCATTTATATATAAATAATTAATATTGAATTGAAATGAACTTTTTAAGCAAAAAAAAAGCCGCTATTCCGTATTTTTTTTGTAAGGGCAAATAAAAATGAAAAATACAATAGATATATAGATTATATATAAAGATTTTGAAGTTTTAACACGATATAACCAAGAAACAACATTACACCAATAGATGTGTTGTTGACGTTTGAGATGATGCTCAAACACACACATACACGCAATTTTATGTTGTAATCACTGACGATATTGGTTAAATTTTTCATGATTCGTCAAAAACTGTGTGTCAACACAAAATTAGAAATCATCTGCTTCATCATCATTATCGATAATGATGATGGTTGGAAATTCAATTGGCGTCTCTGTAGTTGCCTTTTTTTTTGAATAACATTGATCTCTCATATATCTATTTCTTTGTTCTGTTTTTCAAGCAGAAATTTTTTTTTTTTTTTTTTGCAATTGAACAAGCAATTGTCTGTTGACAATGGATATTTTACCCAACTGTTGAACATGGTGCTGCTTCAGAGATAATAAAAATAATTATAATATATGTAATATACCGAGAATTGAATGGATATCTGGTATTTTTTTAAAAATCTTTTGTTCAATTTGACATCTTCAAGACAGAGATTTCCTCCTCTTGTTACTTGTTTTCAAACAGGAAAAAAAATTGGACTTGAATTATATTAGACTAAAATTCGTTCTAATGTTTCGACATTTTTCATTTTTTTTTATTTTATAAATATTCTGTACAATTTTTATCCGGTATTTGTTGTTTACAACATCTCAAAACACAGTCATTTAAAACGGATTGGCATACAAGTATTGCGAAAAAATATCCTGCAGCTATATCATAATCTAACTGAAATGTAAGTTATTATTTGTTGATGGTTTAAGAATGAAAAAAACTATGTCGTGTTTTCAATATGAAAAGAGAAAAAAAAATGTAAACAAAAAACAAAATCTTTATGGACTTTACTTTACTTTATTTATTTTGTGTGTGTATGTGTGTGTGATATATAGATATATGGAAGCCATGCATCAACTTTATTCAATAGAACCGGGGGCATTTTCACAATTACCACATTTAATGTCAATGTAAGTATAAATTTCAGCTGTATTTTTTTCGCTAAAAAAGAAACAACATGCAATTCACAATATTCATCCATTATTCGATATATATTGTTGATATATATTTCACTAATTGATTTTTTTTTCCTATTTCCCATTTCATTTCTATATTTATTGGTAAAAAAAAAAAGATATATAAAAATAGCACCAAAACTTCAATCTATTGTTGATGGTGTATTCACCAGTAGTTCAATGAATAAATTGATGCATTTGTAAGTGATGGATGTGTATATAAATAAATTATTTTCATTTTCATTTTCATTTTTTTTTACCCACTGTAGGAAGATAACACATTCAGGTCTTGAACGTATACCGATGATTAAACTACAACTACAACAACAACAACAACAACAACAACAACAGCAGCAGCAGCAAAATGTTGATCAAATCATTTCGACTATGTAATTATCATTGTTATTGGCAAAAAAACAAACAAACTAATTTTTTTTTCTAATTCATTTTAATGGAATCATAATTTATTATCATCATTTTCTAGTGATTTTGACAATAGCCGTATACGTAATATAACCAAACGTTCCATTATGGTCAATGCTGAAAGCCTGTAAGTATTTTTGTTGTTGTTGTTGTTGTTTATCGATCATATTTTAATTTATTTTGTTCACTACACGTGTAATATCAATCATTTAGTAATATTGAATATAATCAAATTGAATTCATCAGTAATCATGCATTTTATGGATCTAAAATTGAAAAATTGTAAGATTCTGTTTATTTTTTTTAAATATTGTACTGACTAACTGATGTGTGATTTGTTTATTTGTTTCAGAAGCCTTAAAGGAAATAAAAATCTTGTCCATCTGGAAGAATTTGCATTCGCTGGTCTTTATCTTCGTGAACTGTAAGTGATGTTTTTTTTATAATCACACATTTTTTTCATTCTTTGTCCATTGAATTTAAATTTAAATTTGCGTCATTTCATTAAATGTAAGCCATTCATACACACACACACACACACATTTACAACAAACGACATCCAACTATGATTATACAAATCCTATTTATTTTTTTTTCTTTTCCATTGATTCTTCATAAACAAAAGAACGAGAAAAAAAATAACATTTGCTAATACCGTCTTAGTGCAATCATACTGCATAAATTGCATCATCATCATCAACATCATCTGGACTTGATTTTTTTTTTTTGGATCCAGAAAAAAAAGAAAATTAATGAAAATAGATCAAAAACAAAACCAAACACAAAAGAAAAATGAGAAATAATAATAAGATTTTTTGTTGTTGTTGTTTGCCTCTCGTCGTTAGAAAACAATGAATAAGATCCGGAAAAAAAATTTATTCCAAGATTAGTGGTGATGATGATGTTGGTATATTGTGTGCAGTTGTGTTTAGTCAGCCATCATGCATTTGTTTCTTCTCTTTTTTTTTTTTTTTTTGATGTCAACAAAGAAATCAAACTTGAAAATGAATGGCCAAAAAAAAAAAAAAAAGCACAGAAGAAGAAATCCTTTCGTTCGATAAAGACAATGGATGATGATGATGAAACACATTAGTGTGTGTGTGTGTGTGTGTGTGGGAAATATCGATTACTTGATCCAATATAATGTTCTTTTCCTAGATTTTTTTTTTTTCGGTCCTTTGAGATCGTTTGATTATGTGATGTTTGTGTGTAAGTCATGTTTCGATCGATTAATACCATCAACAACAAACAACAACAACAAGATTGAAGATTTGCAGAAAGAAGAAATTAAAAACAAAAAGATTTTCTACACTGCATCAATAATGAGAGAGGTCAAAACGAATAAAACGAAAATCCCAACTCCCCCCTCCCGCCTACAAATAAAACCACTGTTAATGCTGAATGAATAAATGAATTTTATCCATTTGTCAAGTTGTGATGATTCAAGAAGCAGAAAAAAAACATTTCATCAGAAAAAAACATCCCATAAAGTGAAAATCATGTTTCAAAACATGAATGAACATTATGAATGTTTGAATGAGTTAGTGAGTAAGTGAATGAGTGATGATGAGAAGAAAAAGAAGAAAAAAATTTAGTTCTGAATTTTTTTGTCTATGTATGGCAATGAAAAGGAAAACTTTTTTTTTCCCATTTTATCATTCATCAGCACAAAATTGATATGTTTTTTTTTTTGTATGTGAATAGTTTGCTTTGGTTGCGTGATACATTTATTCAACCGCGATCAGCAAACTTTAGTATATTACACACACTATTACTGATTTTTTTTTTGTTCATTTTCATTTTTCAAATATTCTCGTATAGTGTTTTTTTTTTTTTGTTTTTCAAGTGATTTTCAACCATTTTTTTTGACGATGGTGGTGGTGGTGGTCATTTTTTTCAAATGCCCAGTCCATTATACACATTACTCGTTGAGGTTTACCGAATTTTGTTTTGAAAATGTTTGGCAACCACTGTGTGTGTGTGCACGGTTTTTTTTCAATTCAACACACTATTATCGCGTATTTAGAGGAAATTGTTATTGGATTTTTTTTTCATTGTTTCGATGGATTTGACTTTATTTTCTCCACAGAATCACATTCATCAATCGGTAGTATTATTTGGCATTTTTGTTGTTGTTGTTGTTGTTGTTTCCTTTACACATTTAGATTCCAAAATGATTGTTTTCTATTTCTGGTTCTGAATAAATTGTTATTTCAAAATTTGCTATTTTTGATTATTACAATGGCCATATGATAAGATAAGATAAGATAAATGGATGAATAAAATGAAAAATAACGAGAATCCAAATAATCTTGATGAAAAAAAGAGACTTTTCGGAAATTTTGTTGTTGTTGTTGTTTTTCTTCTGTTTATTGCAAAATTTTCTCTCTTTTTTTTCGTTTTGCTCCATCGAAAATCGATTAATTATTTTCTTATCCACCCAAAAAACAAACAAACAAAGATAAACACACACACACACACAGGCTGAACTTATCTCTTGTCTTCATTATTGAATTTTTATTTTTCTTTATTATTTATTCTATTCTATTCTATTTATGTTTGGTTAACCAACCAGATTTTCTGATCTTTTTCTGGTTTCATTGCACAAAATTGCAAATATGCAAATGAAATTAATATACACACAAAATTATCATATGACTTTGTCATGGTGTTATCAAATCAAACCATATATTAATCATCATCATCATCATCGTAATCAATTCTTTTTTTCAGCTTTTATCATTGATAATAATAGTAGTAGAATATTTTCGGAAAAATTTTAAACACTGAAAAAAGTTTCTCATGAATCATTTTTTGCAGTAAAAATAGCAACAACAACAACAACAACAAGCACTTGTTTTGACATTTGTAATTTAAAACATCGAAAACAACTGCAAAAAAAAAAAAAGTACATTTGATCCTGAAAGTGAATATTATTACAGATTACAGAATTTTGTTGTTTAAATCCGATTTATGTTTTTTTTCTGGTTTTTTTTCTAATATTTTTCATCTTGACAACAACAAAGTCTTTATTGCACATCGTTTGAATCGGATTGTAAGTGGGCGAGCCGGATGGTGTTTGTTAAATTCTTTTTTTTTCTTATTGGAATATACTTTGTTTTAATTAAATTTTTTTTTTTGTAGTGGTGAAAATCGGACATAATTGACATTTACAGATATTTTGTGTGTGTGTGTGTGTGTGTAAGATGGACAAGAAGAAAAAAATTTGTTTCCTTGGCTGTCATAATCAATTTTGATCATAATTTTGTTGTTGTCGTTGTTTTTTTTCCAGTGCAAATGTCTAATCTAATTTTGAAATGACCTGTTTTTTCTCTCTCTCTCTCATTTTTTTGTGATTTTATATGTAGTGATCTATCAGAAACAAGCATCACAAAATTACCTACAAATGGCCTGTCCACATCACTCGAAATATTACGTATAATCGATACATTCACATTGAAAGAGATACCATTTATTTATCATTTTGAATCAATGAAAGAAGCACATCTTACCTATCCATATCATTGTTGTGCATTTCAATTTCCAGCTAATCATGATCCAATTGAATATGAACGTATTAAAAATTTATTCAATACAGATAAGTATGTTTCGTTCACATACACAAATACCATTGTTGATTGTTGATTTTTTTTCAAAAAAAAAACGTATAGATATTGTTTTGGAAAGAAAAACAACAACAACAACGATGACAACCAAATAAACTCACATGACATTGATATTTTGGTAAACTTGAATGTTTTTTTTTTTTGCTCTTTATCAATGATATATATATATACTATGAATGAGTTGATTTTATTTTTTGTCATTTGTTCATTTCTTGATTTTCTATATATATAGACAAAAAAATCATCACAGTCAAAAATGCCATTAGTTCGAATTAGAAAAAATGTCAGCATTGATGATGATGATGATGATGATGGCAGCAATGGTGACCATGATAATATGCCTGTTTATGGTGTAAGTAAAAAATATTGGTTCATTTTTTTTTCTCAAAAAAATAATCATTAATTATCGACGCTTGTTATTTTTCATTCAATTTCAATTTATTTTTATATAAAAAATATAATCTCCTTTTCTCACTTTCAATTAAAGGTTATGGTCTATTCTAATAAACATCCAATTATTAATAGTGATGATAATACTAGTAGCCAAATACTGAGACCATTTGAAATATTTGAAAATAAAATCAAAGATTTGGTGGTCAATATTTCGGCTGGTACATTTTTCAATGAAAATCTTTATAAATTCAATCATAATACACAACAACAACAAAAACAAGAAGAAAATAAAGAATCAAAATTGAAAAATAATGATCTACCCGGTGAATTTGGCATACCACATTTATCAATCAAATCGAAACAGGTTTGAATTTCGTTTTCGTTTTTTTTGCCAATGATTATTTTGGAATTTTTATTCTACAGGAATTCTGTGGTAGCATTAAAAATCGTATGCCAATCGTACGTTGTTATCCAACACCTGATGCCTTTAATCCATGTGAAGATGTGATGGGAAAAAATTATTTACGTTTTGTTGTATGGTTGGTTGCATTTGCTGCCGTTTCCGGTAATGTTGCCGTCATTGTTGTTCTTATGAGGTAAATTTTTGTTTTTGTTCATCAATTTTGTTAATTTATTTGTTTCTGTGTGTTTGTGATGGTCAAAATTCAATTTCAAATTGTATTTTGATCAAAACAAAACAAAAAATTACTAGTGAGAACTATATATATGTTTAATAATAATAATGAAAAAGTTTAAAAACTTTATAGATATGAGATTCTTCTTAGAGAAATAAGAATGATATATACTCTAGAGAGCGAAAACAAATTCATTCATTCATCAACAACAACAACAAAACCGGATGAATGGAAATTGTTCTGTCAATTTCAATTTTTTTTTTTTGTTTGACTCGAGGAAAAAAAATGAAAAAATTTATTTCATTTAGGTGATGATGATGATGATGATTATGACAATCGTTTTTTTTCTATTGTTTCGTTTGCAGAAACAAAAAATGAAAATGAAAATGAAAAATAAATTCTCAATGCAATTCACGTTTCTTCTTTTGCTATAATTGAATGTTAGCTTCACTGTAATGCTTTTCTTATGCTTTTTTTTGTTTTGTCGTCGTTGCCATACATACACACACACACAGCACACGGATTGATCATTATCGATGATTTTTGTTTCTATTGCATCAAATCATATTAATCATGAAAATATGGCACGACAAGCAAAAAAAAAAAAAAACTTTGAACCTTTTAAGTTATTATTTCTCAATTTTTTTTTCTTGTCGTTATTATTCGTGCCCTAATCGGACATTTGTTTTCGAACAAGGAACTTGATTTTTTTTTCTCTTGCTGTTTTGGGTGATAATATCCGGTTACAATTTTGTAGAAATCAAATTTCGTTTGTTTTTTTTCATGTTCCATGTCCATAGATAAATAAACAACAAACAAAAAAAGACATTTTGTCATCATCATCATCATTTCCCTCGTCTCCGGTTTTGTCTCTGTCAATAACGACATTCAGTGATTACCATGGTAATGTGTTTCACATCATCATCATCATCAATTTATGATGATAGGATTATCAGTGTTTTACCACTAATAATATACAAACATTATTCTTTTTCCATGGTAAATATTCAATGTGATTGAAATCTCATTTTGTTTTGCAACGAGAATAAACAAACAAACAAACAAACATGAATGAATGAATGAAAGGCAGAAAATCCTTTGTAATTTATATTTAATAACGAAAAATAATAACCAAAAAGTTTTTGCTTTCTGACGAATTTTACTAAATTATTTAAATTTAATTTTTTGTTTTTCCACATCAAAACCGATTAGTTCGCGATTTACATTCAATGTAAGCAAATTCCTGATGATCAATCTATCGATTGCAGATCTGATGATGGGTATGTTGTTGTTGTTGTTGTTTTCAATTTTGTCAAATTTTTTTTTCTTGGAAATTCAATTTAATTTCATTATATTCTATTTTCAAAAAAATTACCATTGTTTTTCGTTTTTTTTTCACCATCAGGCGTTTATTTATTCATCATTGCCGTTGTTGATTTACGTACCCAAGGGGTTTATTTCAACTATGCAATCGACTGGCAACATGGTTAGTTTGTAGTTGAATTTTCGTTTTTTGAAACAATTTTTTTTTTGCAAATCGATAATGTTTTCATTGGAATTGGCAATCATCACACCATTTTTGTTGTCCATTGGTCTCTAAATAGGAATCGGTTGTAAAATAGCCGGCTTTATCACCGTATTCGCACAATTATTATCCATTTTCACATTAACTGTGATAACATTGGAACGTTTGTTTGCCATTACATATGCTATACAATTGAATCGTCGGCTAAAACTTAATTTAGCCGTAAAAGTAATGATTGCCGGATGGTTTATTGTTATATTGTTGGCATCATTACCATTGTTTGGTATTAGTTCATATTCAAAAACAAGTATTTGTCTACCAATGGAACATCGTACTATTGGCGATATCATATATCTAGTATTATTGTTGGCCATTAATCAATTGGCATTTATTATTATTTGTGCATGCTATTCAAAAGTAAGTTTCAAATGACATTCATTACTATTTTTTTTCCATTTTATCATTAAATATTGATTTATTTTATTTTATTTTTATCTTTCATCATCATCATCATCATTATCGTTGGGCAAATTAATGAATAAATTATGATTATAATTACAATAATAATAATAATAATAATAATGATGATGATAATAATCAGATGTATTTCTCAATTATAAGCCAAAAAACTCGTGCTACAATGAACGATATGACTATTGCCAAACGAATGGCGTTATTAGTATTCACCGATTTTGCTTGTTGGGCACCGATAGCATTTTTCGGTCTAACAGCTATTGCCGGTTATCCATTAATCGATGTGACTAAATCGAAAATTTTATTGGTTACCATTTATCCATTGAATTCATGTGCCAATCCATTTTTATATGTTATATTTACTAAACAATATCGAAGAGATTTTTTCATACTTGTTTCAAGATATGGTTTATTCAAAAATAAAGCATTACGATATAAACCAAGGAATAATATTAATAATAATAATAATAATAATAATAATCACCATTATCATCACCATCATCATCATCATCATCATCATCATCGACATATACGTCATCCGGATTCAATGCCAAATACCAGTGATTTATTACATAAATCTAATAATCAATGTGTCATTAAATCTATTCCCGGTATTTATTCATTCATATCTTTCAATTCGATACTTATCTTTATTTTTTTTTGTCTTTCATAACAACAACAACAACAACCACACAGGATCATCATCTTGTATTGATTCAGATTCAAAACATCGAAAACAATGTCGTATACAGCAACAGCATAATAATTTCTGTGTACAATATCATAATAGTGGTGATCAATCAGTAGTAAATCAATGTTCACAATGTCATTGTATAATCAATTATCATTGTTCAATGGTTAATATGCAAAGTGATCATCATCAACATAATAATCATGGAAATGGTATTGTATGTGGTTGCTCAGAAACCGATATTCCTATTATTAGAAATGACAATCAATGTTGTAATAATAATGATGACAATGAAAGACAACAACGTATAACAGCAACAGTGGTAACAGCAACAACAACAACAACAACCAATGTAATACAACAACAACAACAACAACAACAACAACAACAACAACAAGGAAATGTTAAATTATGCGGAAGCCTTCATCAAATCATTGCACAAGAATTCCATAGTGATAAGAATAATAATAACAATAATAGTGGTAATAATAATAATAATAAATCGATTATTACTTCATCAATTGATGATAAACATCGAAAACATAAACGTTGTCATCATTATCAACAACATTGTCGTCATCGATATAATAATAAACATAATAATCAACAACAATGTGATCAATCGTTATCGAATTCTTATAGCGATACAAAACGCCATCTAGATGGATCCATACGAAATGATTCGAATGATAGTAATCATAATAATGAAAAAGAATGTTCTTGTGGACGAATAATGGTGAATAAAAAGAATATGATTGAAATGAAATATTTATCAGATAATCAACAACAACAACAACAACAGAGTTCAAATGATCGAAATTCATCACAATCTTGTGAAAGGGTACATTTTGTACGCAATAATGATGATCATCATTGTCGACATCATCATCATATGGCTTGTTCAGAAATGATGATGAATGGAAGGGTATTATTTACACGACATAAAGATAATGATCATCGCCATGATCATCATCATCATCATAATGGTGGATTGATTATACAATCAACAATGGGTAAACAAACAAAATTGAAACGAAATAGTATTATTACAAATTTTTTACATCGTCTATCAATATCTAAACATTTCATACGACAACAAATGGCAACAATAACAACAAAATCGAATGAAAGTTCAACTTGTGCATTACCGGATAATGAATCATCTGAATCTTGTTCACCATATTCATCAACAAATTCATTACATCGTAATCAACAACAAAGAAATCGTAATAATAATCAACATTGTCATCATCATCGTTGTTATACATGTCATTCACAATATCGTAAACCATTAAATCATCATTCACAACAATCGAACAATGATTATCATTCAGAGAATAATAATGTAAATATTAATAATAATGATGAACCATGTAATCCATTACCAATGGAAGAACAACGTGAAATATTACGGCAAGCATTACAGGAAACAACTACTATACAAGAAGCGGTTGCTGTTGTTGAAGAATTAAGTAGCGGTGCACGTGTATCACATGGATCATCATCGAATAGTTCAAAGAAAACCTGAATATATTCCATTTCTAATAAATAAGATTCTCTCTCTCTCTCCTTTTCACAAACTTGAATTCAGTATTTTTTTTCTTCAATAATGTGTACCTTATAATTGTCATTAAATTTTCATCATCATCATCGTCATAACTGTGTTAATATATCTGTAATACAATAATAATAAAGAATAAAAGATAATGTTAATGTGCTTGTGGATTATTTAAAAAAAAATAAAAATAAATTCATTTTTTATCATCATTGCCATCATTATCCTAGTTACAGTTACCATCTGTTTTGAAGAATAAAGAAAATTAAAAAAAAAGAAGAAATGAAAATTGAAATAAAAACGCAGTATCGATTATAATAATGTGTGTGTGTGTGTGTGTTTCCTTGGTTCTTGAATTTGATTAGAAACACTTTTTGTTGTTGTTATTGACTTTTTTTTGGAATCATGTGATAAATTCAATGGTCAATGATAGAGAAGGGAATAGACGGAAGAAGAAACTGCGATTTTGCGTTTTTTTTTTTTTTGATTAACATTTTGGTTTTGTGTGTATGTGTATGTTTGGCCTGTCAAATATATAATGATAAAACGTATTCGCACATTAACACACACACACACACACAATTCTTATATTGACATATAGGATAGAATTATTGTTTGAATTCTGATAACGAGGAATATTGTGTGTGTGTGTTTTTTTTTGTTGATTGTCAAATATAAATAATTGTACACCGAATAATAATGAATTGATAAATGAAGGGATGGAATGGGGGTTAGTAAAAAAAAAAAACGAAAAACAAACCAAGAAACACAAAGAGCAAACACAAGAAATTTAATTTTTTTTCCATATTTTCTTTGATTTTCATTTTATTTATTTTTATTTTTTTTTTTTTTTTTTTTTTTTTTTGGTTGAAAATTCATTTTTAATGGGTGTTTTTCTATCAAGTTTTCAAAGTAATCGAAAAAAAGGTAATTTTTTTTTTGTTTGCAAATGCAATCAAGTCACTGAACGGTTGGAAAAAAAATAATTAAATTCAAACCGAAATAGATGGCAGCACGTGGCCAAAATGATTATTTATCATCAATGATTTTCAATTTCATTTCGTTTGTTATTGGCGGTAACTTGTAACTTGATTCGATGGTCATATCAGATGATTATATAACACGCAAACATACTCGATGGTTAACCAATTTATTATTATTATTATGATGATGATATTGAAAGAAACAGAAAAAAAGGCTAATTAAATGAACGAAAAACAAAACTAACTGAACTTTTTCGATCATTATCAGTGTGTGTGTGTGTGTGTGTGTGTGAGTAAATATTTATTCAACATGAATTTTTGATTCGTTCGTTCATGACATTTGTGGCTAAATATAATAATAGTAATGTTTTCAAGTAGTTGCCAGTTGATTTTTATGATTCAAATTGATGATAAAGTACGATATAAACACACATATATATATTCTTATAAAGATATCTTAATCTAAATTGAGTTCATTGAATGAAATTATTAAATGATATATATATCTAGACCTATTTTCTATTCTATGGTCAACAATTGTATTGAATTTTAATCTTTCTCTTTGTTTGTGTGTGTGTGCTTGTTTGTGTTTGATTTTCAATAATTCTAGTTCAATAAGCAATGAAAAGAAAAAAAATTGTGAAATATGGCCATTGTGAATATGATGAATGAATGAATGAATGATAAATGTTGGTTTTGTTTTCACCATCACCATTTAATGATTGTTTTTGTTCATTCCATTTTTGTTTATTTTCAATACGACAATAATTGATGAGAAAATTTTTCAAGAAATCGATTCATTTATTTCAAATCATCAGATCAGATTAGATTATTATTAACAAATTAATATATTTAAGTCAATTAAAATTTATAATTAATAATAATAATAATCAAATGGAGATGGACAATATCGATAATAGATTCAACATTTGTAATTATAATTTTATCTGTGTGGGGTGTGTCTTTTGGTTATTGTTGTTGTTGTTTCATCTAAAAATATTATCTACATTCATCATCATCATCATTATTATTAATCATACCATCCATTGATAACGATGATGATGATTGTTCCGTTTCATTATCATTCTTTTCATCATCATTATTATTTGTTGTTGTTAAGATTGAATTAATTTTCAATGAACCAAAATGATCATCATCATAATCGGACAAAATCGATCCATGTTGTTGTTGTTGTTGATGTTTTCGAAGATATGATTGTTTACGAAATTTTTTACCACAAACATTACAATCATATGATTCATCATTGTTGATTACTTTTTTGTTTGTTGTTGTTGTTGTATTAATATTTGCAATTGATGGATTATCCAAAATTGTCGTTGCTTTTACCATGATTTTTTTCGATTTTTTTTCGCTCATTCCATTGTCGTTATTAGATTTACAATGATCAAATTGATTCCTTGGGCTAGATTTATGATGATGGTGATTATGATTATGATTGGAAATCTGTAATGAATTTTTTGTTACCATTATTGTCGTTGATGATAATGATGATAATGATTTTGGTTTATGCCATCGTCTATGTGATGCTAGATTTGCTGGACAATTGAATACTTTATCACATTCTGGACAACGATATTCAATATGGACAATACGTGAACAACGATGTTGTGCTAATGCAAATGCATCAACATAATATTCTTTACATAAAGCGCATACATAATCACCGATTTTATTATCAATTTTTGCAATCTCAGCTCTTGCTTCTGGTGTTATGATGACAATATTTAGACTTGGATCAATATCACCTGAACGTTTTACGGCACAATCTTGGCGCATTAATGCAGTGAATTCTTCTTCATTATCTGAATCCAATATGAATGTACCAGAAACTGGTGAAGATTTGTGTTCATCAAATTTAAATTTTCTCAATGTTTTTACTCTTTTATGATTGTTGTTGTTGTTGTTGTTGTGGTTGATGGTCATTTTTTTGCCACCACTACCACAATCATTATTACTACTATCATTCAAACGTTTTTTACCATTCGATGATTTTCGATTGTATCGATGATTTTTTTTTAATTCTGAAAACGATGATTTTTCTTTTTCCTTTTGATGATAATGATGATAAGAATCTAGACTAGATTGAATCGATAATGATGGTGAACATATAACCGTATTTGAACGGAAAAGAATTTCATTCAAAGATGATGAATTCTGTTCTGAATTTATTTGTCGATTTGGTATTCTAATATTTAATGGCTCTTCTTTTTTCCTATGACAACGTAGATCAAGTGCTTCATCATTGAAATTACCTTCACTATTATTATGGTTACCATAACCATGTCCATCATCATCATCATCATCATCATAATTGTCATCATCATCAGCGATTCGATCTTTCTCCTCTTCGTCCTCTTGATCAACATTTTCATCTTCATCACCAAAGTTATTTGGTTTAATTTTCAACGATAATGATGTTCCCTAAGTTGTTGCAACAGTAATAAAAAAAAATAGAAAAAAAATGATTAATTCCCATTTTGTTTTGTTTTCGATTCATTTATTATTATTGCTATGGTCGCGGATATTTTTTTTATCGCTATGTGAAAATCATTTGGCCATATGTGCGTGTGTATTGTATAAATATTCTGAAATTATCATCAATTGAGTACATTCCCATTGAGAAAATGGAATTGAAATGAAATAAATGCGTTTTTATTCTCAATGATCAGTGAAAAAAAAAATGAGAAATAGAACAAACAAACAATCAAACAAACAGAAAATGGCAAATGAAAATAAAATCATGCCGATAGAGTAATTATCGACACACCAACCAACCATACCATCAAAACCCCCCGCAATTTCCATCAACTACCATCACAACAAAACAATGGTATGTGTTATCACAATTCTAAGCATATCCGGTCGAATTAGAAATCGGTAAAAAAAAGTGAATCAAAATAGCCATCAACATTGATTATTGATATATAATATATATAGAGAGAGAGAGCGAGAGAGAAAATTGATCAGAAAATAATTTTTATTCGTTCGATTGATGATGATGATGATCATCATCATTATAATTATCATTGAAAGAATGAAAATTCTACTAATTGACAATAATAGGTTTTTTTCTCTCTCCAATAATCAGTGTGTGTGTGTCGCAATTTGAAATTTTGCTCATCATCATTATCATCATCTATTGGGTAGTATTCTGTTTATCATCATAATTGAATCATCAAATTGAATTAAATTATTTGAATTTTAGTGTATTATGGGCAAAAAAAAAATACATACAAAACGATAACGACAACAACAATTTTCACTTAATTCGACCAATATAAAAAATTCGATTGAAATTATTGTGTCTTTTTATTGCCCATATATATATAGTGATTTACCTATAGTTTGATTGGCCTTAATGATGATTACCATTGACGATAAAGCAGTAGAAGAACAAACAAACAAACAAAAAAAAAACTTAATAAATCTTGTAATGTTCATCATTCATGCGCATTATATACAACCAAAACAAACTCTTGCTTTTTATAATTTTTTCTTCCTATTAACATTTGTAATCTAGAATTCCATAGAATAAATTGATTGAAGAAAAAAAAGCGAAGGTATCGATGTGTGGCAACAGAATGGAAAAAGAGAATTGTGTAAAATGGGAAAAAAAATCGAACATTTTGAATATTTTTGGATATCCCATATTAAGCGAATTTTTATATGGCTTCAAATGTATTCAATTAACAAAAAAAAAAAATAAGTAAATAAATCATCATCTCTCTCTCTCTCTCTCTCTCTCTCTCTGAATTGATCTTGTCACAATTCTTATGTCCTTTTTTTCAATTCGTCCATAATAGAATTTTACCTGGTAAACATTTCTTTCTTTCTCATTTTATTTATTGATTATGCATAATAATTTTCTCTATTACTCTCTATCCATAACCAAAACAAATAATAATGATGATAATAAAACAAAAACAGAAAAAAAAATGAGAGACACATGCAAATGAAATAAATTTTAACATTGTTTTTTTTCTTCTTCTTCTTCTTCTTCAAACAAACAATATTAAAATAGGAAAGGAAAGTAAAAAAAAAAATCAATTTTTTCATTCGTTAATTCGAGTAGGCACACACACACACACACCATACACAGTTAAGAAATGCTCTCGTTATATTTTATTTTATTATCGTGAAATCCACAGAACAGAACAGAAAAAAAACAAATTAAATTTCATGGATCGAACAACAACAAAAGAAATGTCACATTTTCACATAATCATATTGTCGTTGTTTTGATTATCATTTGTCATTTGTGAAAAATTATGAATAAAAAAAAAATAAAATAAATTTTTTTTTTTTTATTACGGGCCCACCAAACCAACCATGTGCTGTAATTTTATTTCTATTCTTCTGTTTTCTTCATAAATTAAATTATTATTGAATTTTTTCTAATTCATTTTTTGGCTACCATTGTCCAATCTCTATGAAATATGTATGTATGTATCACATAAACAATTAACCTAAGCATATATCGTAAATAATAATATTTTTATTCACCATAGTGATAGATTTGATTTGATTTGATTTAATATACACACATGAACGATTTTGAAATTAATTAAGCTCTAAATTGATTTGCTCACTCTCTCTCTATATATATATAGCTATTATTATTATTGCATAGATCTCAAAAAAAATCAATCAATATCGATATTTTTTTTTGATCGATGAAAGATTTTCATACAGGAAGAATTTTATATTTGTTTTTGTTTTTGTTTTTGTTTTTTGGTCGTGATCATTCGTTTATCGAAAAAATTCCTATGATTGTGGTATGGGTAAATGCAAGTGTAATTTTTTTTTTTTTTTTAAACTTACATTTGGTAATGATGAATGTATTAATTCTTCAGTGATAATATTACTACTTTTATAATAATATTCAAGAATATTATTCTTTGCAAAACATAATGCTGCATTTAATGAACAATCACGTTGTGTTTGTTCAATACGTTGTTGTTGTATGGTATCAATATTTGCCTGGCCAAGCATATACGATATTGCATTCTGCATTGGTATGGTTGTTTTATAAATATCATCAACAATTGTTTGTTTAACACTATGATTATCGCCATTGGAATTATTTTCTTGTTTTAAATGACCTGTTTTCTCGATTAAAAAAAAACATTTGAATGAAATAATGATGAGAAATCGATAAATTTAATCAAGTTAAATCAGATTTCTTCAATTGATTCAATTGATCAACTTACCTGGTGAAACAATAACGGATGTTTGATTACGACGTTTAACCATTGGTGTTTGTTTGTTGTTGTTGTTGTTGTTTGGAAAAACAATGATTATCAAACATTGGTTTAATTGAATATGATTTTATCAGATCAGATGCCGAGGATGGTAATGGACATTGATAATGATTATTAGGATGATGTTCTATTGTTGTTGTTATTGATGAATGATTCGATACTGATGAATCATTTTCACATTCATTCAATTGGATTTCATCATCATCTTCTTCATCCGCATCATCATCATCAGCACCATCATTGATGTCAATTCGATTAGCCTGTAATTTTGATTTTGATGAATCGAATAATTTTGATGATATACCATTAGGATTTGTATTGTAAAGTATTGATGATAAATGTGACGATAAATGGCCACTTGTACGTTCATAAACTGATGATAAATTCAAGCCATTTGTGGCAGCGTGCGATAATGTGGACATGATTGATTAATAATGAAAAATTTTGTGTGTGTGTGTGTGTGTGTGTGAATGACTAGCTTGTGTAGATAGATATTGAATTTAGTGAAAAAATTTGTTGGTTTTGTTTTTTTTTTTTTTTGGTGCCTTAAATTAAAATTTTTTGTGTATTTTTTTGTGCAAAAAAAAGGTGAAAAATATTTGTTTATTACGTCAAAGGAAAATTTTTTAAAATTGACGATAAATTCTTGGTGATCAATACAAAATGACTAGATTGTTCACACTCGATTCCTGAATTGAAATATAATTATTATGATGATTAATATAAGAGATACAGTAGCGAACGGGTTAATGGATGGTAATGTCACGTGTTGAATATTGCTTTAACAGAATTTTTGTTTGTTTGTTTGTTTTGTTAATCAAATGTAAATGGCCAAATAAATAGATCACGTGAACAGGAAAAACGTTGATTATTGGAATTTTGTTCACTAATTTTGTATTTTATTGATTAGAATTATTTTTTTAAATTAATTAAATTTTTTTAATGAAAAAAACGCTTTCAAAAAAACTTACTCAGATTGATTTTGGTTGATTAATAATGATAATAATGAAAAAACGGACGGAAATGATTCAGACATTTGTTGATAACAGATTGATTCATTGATTATTAAACACTAATATAAAGAAACATAATTTGACTAGAAAAAAAAACATCTAGACTAGAAGATGTTACGAATTTATGTGGATGAACGTGGTGTTAATTAGGTGATTATGGAATTCATTTGTGTGTGATTTGATAATTAACCCATTTGATGAGTGAAGACTGGAATGAAGGATTGAAAACGACCATAGTAAACTCTTTATATGATGATGATCCACATCGTTTTTTCTTTGGAACGTCTTGATTGTATCAAGGTAGATGATCAAATGAAATCCAAATCCAGATGAAGAAATAAAAACGACAACGGTTTCAATCCTCACGTAAAAAAAAACTATGGTAAGCGCGCCAATCAAAGTAAAACATGTAATATAACCATAATCAAAATGATGATGATGATGATGATGATGATGATTAGACGCAAGCGCTATTTTTTTCAAGAAAATTTTGTTTTCAATTGAATTATACTCATAGAAAACGACAATGGAACAAGCCAATGAAATCAAACATAAACTATTGAAAAAAGACCGTATACTACTATTGTGTGTGTGTGTGTGTAAGGTTTGTCGCATAACCGAAAATGGCAAATAAAAATATTATCGACCAGGAGAAATGATCCAATAAGCCACCAGGATATTACAAACCAGGAGGAGAGATCCTCCTTAGTTTGTTCAGTGACAGCTACTAGGATCAACAACTAATACTTTACAGTTTACTATGTGTGTGTGTGTGTGTGTGTGTTTTACCAGAAACCAGCAAAAAAAAAACGGAATAACAATGGATCCAGAACGAATCATAAAAGATAATTCAACGGATCTTCAAACAAACTGGTTCGTTCGCGTGTGTTACTATTACCTATAGTTTATCACACCGATAACCTATGACCATTGTGTGACATACTGGTGGTGATAGTGGAGGTAGGGGGAAAAAAAGATCCACGAGCACAATGTTTTTGACCTTATAATAGTAATAATAATAATAATAATAATCTCAGACATTTGCACACACACGCGCGTGCTAGCTTGTTAGCGCGTGCTTATGATTCAAAATAAAAACTCGATCAACAGTTCTTTCTCTTTCAACCGATGGTTGAATATTTTTGAATGATGATGATGATGATGGAAAAACTTGATCGTTTTTTTTTCTTTTTGTTCAATATATTTCTATGTGCATGTATGTAGTGTATCTATTGGTTCTCATGACATGGGGCCAGATGCCAGTCAATTTTATCCTGAGGAAACAAAAAAAAAAGAACACCGTTTGTGTTACCATTACACACACACACACACACACACACAAACACATTCATACATCGAAGAGGATAATGCACGCACATTGTGGATTCGTATGCGAATCATACCATTTGGAACCATAGTTTTCATACACAATTTTTTTAATGGCCAAGCCTATGTAGATATATGTAGATCGCGTAAAATTGAACAACATAAATGATCACTGAATGGAGATAGAGACCCAATGATGATGATGAATATATGGATCGTTTGCTCGTGATATTTGTCTTTTTTTTGTTGTTGTTGTAAATGTATTTAACTGTGTAAAAACGCGCGCGACTCGCTCGCTCTGGTTATTTGTAATATATTTCGGCATGTATGTAAAAGCTCGTGTGTATGTTTGTGAAGCTAAGAGAGAAAACGATGAACTTTATGCATATTTATCGATCGAATAATCAATCAAATTGGAAAAAAAATTGATTGATTGAATTTAAAGAAAAAAATGTTTGTTTCAAAAAAAGATGTTTATTTTCATTCAACTGAATAATTAACACTTTGGTGATGGAATCAAAGTTTTTTTTTGTCAACAATTTCTGGATCTAGTTATGGGAAAATTTTTTTTTTTTTTTTTTGGTTGTCATTTGGATTTTACAACGGAATATTTTTGGACTATTTATTTAGATCAGATTCGTTGTTGGTTGTTCTCGAGACCGAGAAAAAAAACCGTCGTTATTCATTAAGATTGGAAAAAATTCAGATTGAGTCCTGACCGTTGACATAAAAGCTTGCGCGGCCATGGAGGAGGTATTAGCAAACGGGGACCAGTAATGTACACACGAACTTAAACCGAATATATATATAAATCGATCGATCGTAATAAAATCTCACGCTGTGTGTGTGTGTGTTTGTGTTTCATTCATTCAGAAATATTTTCAAACGGATCTCGTGCCATTATGATGATGAGGACAAAAGTAAAAGTAGTAAGAAGCACGTGCCAATAAACGACTACGAAAATATTTCGGTTTTTTTTATGTTGTTTTTGTTCACCGTTAATAACCGTTAAGATTTCAGTAGAAGACCGAACGTTGTCAATGATTTTTTTTGAATAAATAATAACGGTTTCCGGCCCGTTATTATCCAAGATCAACAACCATTCAAATCATGTCAAGGCATTTCATCATTTTATCAATATAAAAAAAAATGGTTAAACGGTTTTTTTCTGAATCGTGTGAACGAAAAAAAAAGAAGAACAACAACGGTATTTTCTCTCTAAAAAAGAGATCCGTTGGATTTTCTTGAATTGATTTAAAAATCTAAAAAATATAAAATCAAACGGATTAGCAAAAAAAAAAACAACAACAAAAACAAATGAATTCAAATTAAGATGACAAATGAAAAATTGAATTCAATTGTACCGTCAACAAACGATAGATGGCGCCAGCGAATCAATGTGAATTTTTAAAAATTCAGAATTTTAAATTTAAAAAAAAAAAAATAAATAATGTTAAACAAACTTTTACGAATGAATTACATCATTTTAATCAGAATGATTATATTTATTAGTAATAATAATAATAATAATCAATTATAAAGAAATAATGATAATAATAATTAATTATGAGTTATAATATATTCATTCATATTTGAAAAAAAAATTAATTTCATTTGGATTGTGTGTGTGTGTGTGTGTATCGGCTTTTGCATCATCAACATATATATTGTATTGATATTGGTGTTGTTTGATGGATAAATCAAGAGAGAGAAAAAAAATCAAGAGATCGGCTAATTATTTATATATAAATAATAATAATATTATATATGTATGTATATACTCGCGAAAAAAAAAATAAACAAAAAGACAAAAAAGAAGAAAGAAAGAAAGAAATAAAAATATTCGAGCACAAAATTATATCGATGACATCGAAATTAAAAATCGATTATTTTGTATATATATAAATAAATAATAATAATGGATCGTTTATATCGTGTTATTCATTCGTTTTTCGATCGATATATTTTTTTTTCTTCTGTCGATTTCTTGAATATATATAGAGAAGCAGAATGTGTATGTGTGATTGACATTTTGAGATGATTTTTTTTTTGTTATTGTCTGTGTGTGTGTGTGTGTATGTAATGAATGTTTCATCATTTGGGAAAAAAAATGAAAAGGGATAATAATTATTGATGATAGTAGAAAGAGATAGATATTTATATTTATATAATAGAAATGGTCAGTTTCTCTCTGGTTATTCATTTGTTTTTGTATAATGTCAAATTGCGGTAATCTTGTTGTTGTTGTTGATGATGATGATGATGATGATGATGTGAATAGAGAAGAGAAAAAAAAAATGTTATACAACTAATTTGAAATGATGAATAAATGAAATGAATAAATGAATGAATGGAGACGTGTAGAATTCGTAGGGCATTTTTTTTGTTTTGTTTTTTTTTTGGTGATAATCAAGAAAATAATAATAACAAGCAAACAGGGAATAGAATGGATATGAAAAAAAATTCTTTTCTTATCCTGATGGACATGCTCAATCATTCAATCAATCATTTTACAATCATGTATTGATTGATTTCAAATTTGATTCATCTCAGGTTAACTAGTCGAAACAGAAACCGTTACTTGTTGTGGTTGTTGCTGTTGGGTTTGTTGTTGGCTATTAACATCCGATTTGATTGCCTGCATTGTTGTCGTTGCTGTCGATTGATTATTAGTATTTACTATGGCCGTGGCATTCGTAACAACTGTAGCCTGTTGTTGGCTGTTGTATCGTACCGGTCGTATTATTAAGCACCGGTGGTTTATGATGTGAGAGCATATGTTTTCGTAGACCTTCACGTGTTTTGAATTTCTTTTCACAATTATAATAATCGCATGCATATTTACGTTCATCCGAATGAACGGATTTATGTTTGGCAACATTTGTCGATTTATATGAACCATAATCACAACCAGGCCAATCACATCGATATGGTTTCTCTAGGATTGTATGCCTGATCATATGATCTTTTAGATTACGTTTTAATTTATATGCAGCCGTACAGCCTTCAAATTCACATTTAAATCGTGCCAATTCAGGATTACGACTTCGTGATTTTGGTGGTGCTGGTTGTGTTGGTGGTGGTGGGGGTGGTGGTGCAGCCGCAATCGCATGTGTCACCTGTGCAGGCGTCGATATTGGTGCATGTGATTTTACATGGTTGAGATAAGCGCCCTGTGAATCGAATGATTTACCACAGTTCATCACTCCGCAGATAAATTCTTGATGGCCATCCGGATGTTGGATCATGGTTCCTGGAGCAAAAAATTGTTGCGGTGCATTAGCCACGACTTGTTGTTGTGGTGGCGGCGGCGCTGCATTCGCTGTTGCTATAGTTGTCGTATTAGAAGCATTGTTTGCAACATTCGGATTATGATCTTTATGTGCACGCATATGCGAACGTAAATAGCTGGAACTGACACAACGATACGTACAATTAGGGAATGAACATGCAAATGGCTTATCCGGTCGATGGGTGTGTGAATGATCCCACAATCCTTTGCGAGTTTTATATCGACGGCCACAGTTCTCCACCGTACAAATGTAATTCCGTTCACTCGAATGGGTAACTTTGTGTTCGTTTAGCTGAGTCTTGGTCAAAGCAGAATATTCACAATTAGGAATGTCGCAACGAAATGGTTTTTCTACCTTGCTATGTTGCATCATATGTTGCTTGAGATCATATAATGTGCTGAACAATGAACTACAATTCGAATTGTTGCAACGAAACAATTGTGTGTTGATCATCGCATTCGTTCCGGCCACTGCAATCGCTGTCGTTATCGGCTGTGGTTGAGTGCTGGGTACGACCACTGATGTATTACCAACATTTGTCCCTACGGATTGTTGTTGAGCCACGATCGTTTTATGCGCTATAGCTGTTCCAACATTCGATGCAGGCGGTTGCTGTAATTGAATCAATGTCACCTGTTGTCCACTTGGTAATTGGCCAGTTATTTGGGTCGGTTGTAGCGTAGCTCCTTGTTGTCCTTGGGCATTGGCCGTAATTATCTGAGCAATTTGTTGATGTTGAGGTTGTTGCTGTGAGACCACTGTCACTTGTTGTGGTTGATTTGTTTGCTGAATTTGTTGTTTGTTGCTGCTGCTGCTGTTGTTGTTGTTGTTGTACGATTTGAACAGTTTGTTGTTGTTGATTCTGTTGTTGGCCACCGGATTGATTATTCTGTTGCATTGTGCCATTTTGATCATGTACAGAACGATGGCGAGTTAATTCATTGATTTTTGAGAATTCTTCATTACAATCAGGCCATTCACATTTGAATTTACGTTCCATATGTACACGCATATGTGCTTTCAATGAAGCAGGTGTTTGTGAACGAAATTCACAGCCAGGCCAAACACATGGATATGGATGATCAGAATTATGAACGGCTGCATGTTCATTAAGCTCTTCTCGTGTTTTAAAACGACGACCACATTCTGGAAAACTGCAATTGAATTCTCCATCACCAGTATGTACCAATTTATGATTATTGATATGACGTCTAGATGATGTCTGATATTCACATGATGGCCAGCCACAAATATAAAGACCATCACGATATGAATGCATGACCACTTCGGCTGCTGCAATGGCCATCACATCTTTCTTTTCACCAAGATTATTATAATTGGAAGCATTCATATTATCAACCGCTTGTTGTACGGTTGCTGTTTGTGGTTGTTGTACAATATAAGCTTGTGTGACCGTATCTGATTGGTCCATATTTGGATCACAAAATGTTTGTAATGCTGTTGAAAATTCTTCCGTCGCCCAATCTTCCTGTAGATATCGTTGTAATAATGCTTCATTACCACGAATTGTTTCCTGAAATCTTTGCTCAATTCGTTCATATTCATAACGTAATTTTTCATCATTGATGATATTTGATTCATTATATAATTTTTGTACATAATTTTTATATTCCAATAATGCATGTAAACATTTACGAATGAAATCAAAATCAAATAATGATTCATTCGTCTGTAAACAGATGATCTCTGTTGGTTTTATTTCTATCGCATCCATAGTGGTAGATTTTTTTTTTTTCTTCTCTTTATTCACTTGTTTTTTTTCATTCACAAATATACACCGCTTCGTTTTTTTTCCTATTTGTTGGTTATTGTTGATGATGGTGTGGTAGTTGTTAGCCGGTTACTTGAATTCAAATCGCTATGTTGTTGTTGTTGTTATTTTTACTGTTGCTGCTGCCGATTTTGCGGACGCAACACACACACAATACAATAAATGGTGAGAGAGAGAGAGACAGTGGAAAGGTAATGTGGTGGTCGTCGTATACGGTATTAACAGTCAATGTATGTGCTTCGAACTATGATGTTGATGTGTTTATAGAAGACGGGAACGATATAAAACTGGAATAGCGTCCAAGTTTTTTTTATTTACAAAATTATAGTAGCCAAATTCAAAAGAAGCGGTTTTGTATGTGATGTTGTTGATGTTGATGATGATGATGATGATGATGATGATGATTGTAGGACAAATACAACAACAGCAACAACAGAGCTAGATATGGAGAAAAAATGAGAAAAACAAAAAAAAAAGAAAAGAAAAACGAAAGTTAAAAAAATTTTGCTGTAACCAAACTATATGTATGTGTATGTATATAGTATAGATATAACTGTATATCTAGTATCGCCTTGTGTATGTGGTGATATTTTTTTTTTTTATTCACAATTGTACATCGTCATTGTCGTATGATGTGATGTGATGTTGTTTTTGTTGTTGTTGCAAAGCATAGCACAGCACATACACACACACACAAGAAAAAAGTAAAAAGAGAAACAAAAACCACCACTATATCTCCAAGGCAAAAAAAAGGGAAAGTTTTCATTTGTTCTTGTTATATCAAGCTATATATATGTTAAAATTCAATGATGATGATGATGATGGCTGCCCTCATTGTTGCTGATTCGCTCCCAATTCTTGTATTTGACATTCATACAATGTGTGTGTGTATGTTGGAGTATACTGCTATATAATAACTGTACATCAATTTTGTATTGTGTAAACCTATTGGATGAATATGGCGCCACTACACTAGAAAAAAAGTTTTGGATCCTTGGTTATATTATAGAGAAGTACAATGGAAAAAAAGATGGATTTTTTGCTGCTGATGTTGGAGTTCTCCATGTTACCACTAATTCGTTTGGAAGAACTAAGAAGAATCATTTCATCACTTACTACTGCTATTTATTTGACATGAATTCTGTGTGTGTGTGCATGAGTGTCAAAGGCTATCAACCTTTTTTTTTTATTCTTTGAATGAATTTTTGTCAAATATTCTAAACCTGTGTGTACGTACACATGTCATTGATGTTATTGTTGGTATTATTATTATTAAATAAATGTAATCCTGAAAGATGAAAAAAAAAAAATTTTCAAAACAGAAGTGGTTAATTTTAGCAGCAGCAGCAGCAGCATAATAGAATCAGTAATAGCAAATGTATAGGAAAAAACACAAAACAACTAGGAATTTTCAAAAAAAAGCAAAAATGGCTACCATTACAAGATGTATGTGTGTATGTGTGCATAGCATCCCAATATATAAATTATTGTATAGCAAATTAAACACAAACACACAGACCAAGCTATATAATATAATGATGAACACATCATATGTGGAATTCAAATAAGAATATTCATATGTACGAATATATTTGTGTAAACTTTGATTTGCATGACATTTTTTTTTAATAAAATTAATAATTTTTTTTCTACCTTTCTTTTTGTGTGTGTGTATGCTATTTGTTATGTCTTTTTGACTGAGAAAAATATATTAAGAAAAAAAAATTAAAATTGTCATCAACAAGGAAAAAGAACATTAGATATATGTCTATTATTTGTGTGTTTTTATTATTTATATATCATGACAAAACACTAACCAGTGATGATGATGATGATGATTGAGAAAAAAATGAGGATGATGACGGCTATCGATGTTAAATGTGAATAATATATCGAAACAAGAAAAAATTTCTTGGCCTTGATTTGTTGATGAAATTATATTTTCTTCGTTTTTTTTATTGATTGATCAGATCAGATGATAGTGAACAACTTTTTTTTCTGAACATTCAAACAGACAGAATACAACACCAGATGGATCTTTGTTTCGATTATTACAGACCCTAAAATATCAGAAATCAGAAAAATATGGAAATTAAATCAAAATTTAAATTTAAATTAGAAAAAATGTATCAAAATCAATAAGGTTAGGGGTCTTATTATGGTATTACTGCTGCTGCTGCTGTTGCTTTCGCCATTCAATCAAGGTATATCAAGGTTCAACATGATGTCAATCAATCAAAATAACCGGCAACAACATTTTTCTTGATGTATGAATGAAAACCGGGATATGTATGAAATGGACGGTGGTTCTGAAGCCGGTGGTTTCAAATTAATGAAAACCGAACCGAATCGCCGGTATTATCGGTTCACCGGACAACAGACAATTCGAAACAATACGGTAAACCGCCAAAAAACGCAATGAACATCTCAAATCATCATCACCCATGTGATTATTTGTTGTCACATTTGGATATTATTATTTTTTAGTTTTTTGGTTTGGTTGGTTAAGCATTAGCAGCAGCAGTTTATACCATTTTCTCATTTTTATTAACATTATACATTATTTTTCGGTGGCGGTCAAGATGTGTGGTGGTACAATTTTCAAAATAAAAAATTACATACACTACTCTTTATTATAAGTATGAGTGGTGTGTTTATGAGTTACGTACGTTTCATTTGGCGAATAGAAAATTGGAGAAAAAACAAACGAACGAACGAGTAGGAGATCTTTATTTTTGCTACACACAACAACAACAATTTAGTGGTGCCTTTCTGTCGACAACAACGACGATGTGATGATGATGATCGGATAGTTTCGTAAACGATAGATCTTTGTGTGGTGGTATAGTGGTGATGATGATGGCGTGGAACAAACAACAAGAAAAAAATGCCAAAAAAATCGAAGAAGTTGATGATAATGATGATGGTGGCTCTCTCTCACACAACAACAGCCAGAAAAAAAACCGAAACCGGTGGATAGACCAAAAACACGATCAAACGATTTGTGTGTGTGTGTGTGTGTACGGATTGTGGTTGGATCTTTCTGGATTCAATTAGGGGTGGGTAAAAATGATATGATTATGATGGTGGCTGTCGTTTTTGTTGTTGTGGTGGTGGTGGTGGTGGTGGCGGTGAAGAAAAAGAAAGAAAATAGTCAAGATTTAGAAATGAAATCGAACGATAAAACAGGTGCAGAAAATGGGAAAAAAAAAGTCAAAATTATTGTCGAACAAAATAAACAGCTTGCTAGAAGCAAACAAAAAAATCAAAATGGTGAAATTCGTTTCATTTTTCTTTTCGTTCTAAACGAATGTTTCCAGCAATCATCAGCACAATTGAGGGAGAGGAAGAGGGAATGTGTACACAATCAGAAAGTTGAACTAGGTGTGGTAGTATCATAATGTGTGCGTGTGTGTGATAAATGCGCGCGCATTACTATAGTTTTGCTGGCGGTTAATGCCTGTTTGCTGTTTTTTTTTTTTTTTTTTTTGGTTTTCCTCCTGCCGCTGCCATTTATTGTTGTGCTGCCAATTGATGGCCAATTCATAAACGACGTTTTTAGATTCGCGCGAAATTCTAATAAATTTGATTTTGTAATTTTATTTTTAATTTTTTTTTCATCACATTGATTCCAAAGGTTGTAGACCAATTAATCGCATACATTGATTAAGAACATTCTTGGCACAGATAAACAATGATAAACGTGTTTGTTGAATTTGTTGTGTTTGTCCTTTGATTGTTAATTCTTGATTAGCACGATTTATGGCCGTTCTATAGTAAAAAAAAGTTATGAAGAAAATTTTACATTGAACAAAAAAATAAAACTTACTTGAGATCAAACAAATAATTGGTCAATATGCTTGGTTCTAATTGATCATAAGCACGATCGATCATTTCATCAAACATTAACATTTGATTGATTAGATTTCGGCCTTCCATAGTATCGATAGCAGCCATATCCAATGATGATTCTATTTCATCATCATCAATATTAAAATTTTTAATCAAATTACATAATCTTGCATGTGTATATTGTAATGAAATTCCTGTATTTCCATTCATTTTAAGTGCACGATTCCAATTGAAACGATATTCTGATACACGTCGATTCGATAAATCATTAACAATGATGGCCGTAACACCCAATATATCGGCTATTTGTTCATATAGTTCATTAGGAATTTTTGTATCTATCACAAAATTAAACAATAATAGATTTTGAAAACCAAAATTAATAATAAAAATAAAAATTTCAAACTACTTGGACTAGTTTTGATTGCTTCCAATGCACGATTTTTAGCTTCATTTAGTACATCGTCCAGAAAAATTGCTTCACCTTTTCGAGTACTCATTCCCAATATTCGTCCAAATTTCAAATGTTTCAAATCTCTAATAATGACCAATTGTGGAATAATGTTTTTTTTCCAACAATTTAGAAAAACTGAAAAACTTACCTATAAACAGGATCATCAAGTGAAGAGAAAATGCTTTTTAAATTATTAAAATGTTTTGATTGACTACTATCGACAACATAATACAATCGATTAAAATTGAATTGTTTTCTTCGATTCATTACAGCAGCTAAATCTCTGGTAAGATAAAGACTTGTACCATCATTTTTCAACAATGGTATGGAAATTTTTTTCATTGGATCATTATGATCATTTACTTCGGCCACTGTTGCTCCATCAACCGTTTTGATTAATTGTTGAAGCATTTTGATAACATCTTTTACCGATTGATCACTATACATTGATTCACTTTCATATTGATCAAATCGAATGCCTAATCTTTTATATAATTTTTCCAATTCTTCATAGCTTAATTGACGAAATTGATACCATTGTTTATAGATTTCACTGGTATCATCATTGCGTGATTGTTCCAGCTGATAGAAACGATTTTTAGCTTGATTTTTCCAATCACTATTCAATTCACATTGTCGATTACCTTCAACATAAACATTGAATAAATGTTTTAATGGTTCTTGCTGTAATTGATTTGGATCACCAAATTGATCAAATGCTAAGCTCAATATACCAAATTGTGTACCCCAATCACCAAGATAATTCATTCGTATAACATCATGTCCATGGAATTCTAATATATTTGCCACACTATTACCAATGATTGTTGATCGTAAATTTCCAACATGAAATGGTTTAGCAATATTTGGTGATGAATATTCGACAATAATTTTCTCTTTATCTCGATGATCAATCAATTGTCGATGTTCAATAAATGATTCCATTAGATTTTTCTTTCTTAGATTTTTGAATAAATGCTTTTTTGTTTGTTTACAAGCAACGAAAAAAAATCATAAAATAACCAAAATAAAAACATCATCATTAAATAACCAACCGACTTTGACTAGTGTTTCGAAATCAATTTCCAACATCATAATATTTGTCGCCAATGAATTGACGTTTATCGGACCAATTTCAACATTTTTAATTAATGATGATGAACTGTTTTTCAAAGTCTTTGTTTCAGGTGAAAAAAAAATTGCAATAATCAGTTAAAGAGACAAAACATAAAATTCATTTTCGTGCTCACTTTAAGAAAATCATCGTTTATCGACATGATTGAATCCCGTTCTGTCGGTAAATCAATATAAAATGTTTGACCAATCCGTTTGACCGATGAATCGGTAGGCATTATTTTGAGCATTTGTGATTTTTCCAAATTCAATCCAATCCGTTTCAATTGCGTAAGAATTTCTCGTTTCAATGATAATGCCATAATTATTATTAATTAATTTTTTTAATTTAAAAAATCCACAAAGAATTCTTTGAAAAAAAACACATGATTCATGTAGAAGGGAGCATGCGCGCATTCACTAAATGATGTTCGATTTTATTTTCGATAAAAATACACAAAGATTATTCTGGAATAAAGCTTTTATTAATATTCAAATCAATTCAATAGATCATTTATACGAATTTCTGATTTTTTTTTTTTTGACGATGTGAAATAGGTTAAAAGAAAAAAAATTCGATTGTTTTTTCTATAGAAATCATTCTTGACTATCTGGAATATAATGAGAGAAAAAAAAAAACGAAATAAAAATCACAAATGAATTTAAATAATAATAATTTAAATCAATGAAAGATGGCGAACAATTTCATTTTGCACACACACACACACACAAAACACACACTATTAAATTGATGTTTGTTTGTTTTTTTCCATGGTTTCATTTCAGAATATTGGAATGTAATTATCGATACGTGCTTTATGTTTCTGTGCAACACATTCAGCGATCCATATGATATTTCGACATTCTTGTTCTTTCAGTTTTAGATATGCATAAAAGATTCCGAAATGAAATTGTTGTAGGAATGCATTGATATTCAATTTAACTTCATGTTCAAAAAATTTATCTTCCAATGTTTTATTCTCGGCATTTGATTGTGATTCAAACAATACACGATAATCGGCATACATTTCGGCAACATTACGCACTTGTTCATAATCATCGGCCATTGCTAATTGAGCCAAACCATATGGATTTAGTTTACCACATGTTGGATACAGCTTTGAACGATCTTCTTTACTTAATTCTGTACCAAATGAATTGATTGTAATCATAAAAGCCCGACGATCAGCTTCGAATGCTACGATTTTCAAGATTAATGCTCTTTTCTAGATTTTACAAAATATTAATTACATACCGAGAATTTCACACATAACTTCAGCCGTAACACCACCAAGTTCTTCACAAAATTTATAAAATGATTCCAGATATGCTTTGAATACCGTATTACGAATAATTTCAATATTCATTTCATCCAAATCTTGTTCACCGATACAATTGACAAAATATGGTGCCAATGGTGTGTCGACTAGTACAGCATTATATAGATCAGATGGTGTCGATGCAACATGAATAGCTTCCATTTGATCAAAAGAACCTAATGGATGACATTTCGGTATCAATTCGGATAATGGTCGTTGATGCAATGTTCCTGATAATAATAAAGTAGAAAATGTTAAAAGTATATTTTGCAAAAAATTTATTAAACTAACCAGTAATCAAAAGAATAATATTATCAATCATATAATAATGTAGAATGTAATCAAGAAATGTCGATAATGGTTCAACAGCATGATTACGAATATGTTGAAATTCTGCAACTAATTTTTCTTTCAATTTATCATCGATAACCGAAACATTTAATGGTGATGCTTCATTAGCCAGAAAACCACCATAATCCGTTGATTGTAGATGAAGTTTTAGATCTTCCAATGTTTCACATTGTACAAGATTTAGATAATCAGTTTGTTTAATTATACCACATTTAAAACCACGTACAAGTCCTTCAAGATAGCCATTGTCAACATTAAAGATGCTTTCCAAGAACATTTTGGTTTGTTTATGTTTTTTTGCTTTTTAAAATCCCAGAAACAATGAATGAATTTTAAATGAAGAATGATTTCATGTATATCCACAAACAACAATACAACAATATGGTAAAAAAAAGAAAAAGATCAATGAGAACCAGAATCAAAAAAAAAAAACAAGAAATAACAACAACACTTTCAAAGACGCCCACCACAGCTCATCAGACAAACACAAATCATGATTAATTTTTGGATGATGCGCTCTTTTTTTTTAGTGTTATATTTGTATACGCGTTCGATATTTATGAAATAAATGAAAATCATAAACATTGAGATGCCATGGCGACATCTATCAAATAGATTAGTCATTATTTTTTAAACATTCTTGTTATTTAATGATCACGATAATTAATAAGAAAATTATTATTGCGCATTTTATTATTGATTTTGACGAAAATAATAATTCTTTTTTTAATTTGTTATTATTACAATGAGAATTTTCACAATGAGTTAATCGAATTTCTAAATCGATATTAAATGATGTTCTTGAAAAATTCGAATTCAACAAAAAAAAAATATTTCGCGGGATTCGGACACTATGAATAGCCCTTTCATGATTTTTTTTTTGAAAATATGCCGCTACCTCTTAAAGATTTGGGATTTTTGAGTGTATACACCACTGTTGATTGTTGTGGCGCTATATTGCGGAAACAACCTTGATCGAATATGTCATTACCACTACCACCGCTAAACACAAACACACACACAGTAATAAACAAAACCGAATCGGAATACTGAAAAAAATGATCCGAAATTTTCATTGATTTTTGTTTGTGTGTATGATTCAAAATATTCTACGCGTTTATTTGGCTCGTCTTATTCATTATCGTTATTTACCGTATACGGTATGTATGTGAATAAATATTAAATTTCAAGCAAAAACTAATTAAAATTGTATGTGAATAGATCTTATATTTTACAGAAAAAGAGAAACAAAAAATTCGATATGTTGAGACAAATTTTTTATCGATCAAAATCGATACCACCACCGGTATTGGCTCGATTATATCATGAAAAAGTAATTGATCATTATGAAAATCCCAGAAATGTTGGTTCATTGGACAAGAATGACAAAGATGTTGGTACCGGTTTAGTTGGTGCACCGGCATGTGGTGATGTAATGAAATTACAAGTAAAAGTTGATGAAGATGGTAAAATTATTGATGCACGATTCAAAACGTTTGGTTGCGGTTCAGCCATAGCATCAAGTTCATTGGTCACGGAAATGATTAAAGGAAAAACAATCGATGAAGCTTTACAGATAAAGAATACTTATATAGCAAAAGAATTATCTTTACCACCGGTCAAATTACATTGTTCAATGTTGGCAGAAGATGCTATCAAAGCTGCAATCAACAATTATAAAGTTAAACGACAATCTTTGGAACAAAGTGGTGGCACCATTGAAAATTGATTGAAAAAACATATATGAGTGAGGAGTGTTTTTTGTTCATCAAGTTTTCAAGTTTTATTAATGTTATTGTCAATATCAATCAATCAATCAATCAATGTTATGTAATTATTTAATGTAAAATCAACCTGTGGATAAATCTTGCTGTGTTTTATCGAAAATTTCAAGAATCGATTAAAAAAAAATTTGATCAATCGTATTTATAATTAATTTATTCTTAATATTATTACTTGTACGTTTAAGATCAAAAAACTATAAACTATTGAATCTTACTTTCTACTGAATAAAGAATAATTAATTAGATAATTAGATCATCAGATCAGATATAAATAAGTGAATTTTGTAAACAATCTGAAAATGGTTGTACTAATGTTGATGTTGAAAAATAGAAAATAAGACCAAAGGCTATTGAAATTGGTAATGCTGGTAATGCTTTACGAAAAATGGCCAATAATAATAACGTAAGACAAAGACCAATTAGAATGGCAACAAAACAAGCTACGGTGGTATTCCAATCACCATATGAAGATGCTTTTCCTACCAATACTGAATAGAATATAAAATCACCAAGACCTAATTTAACGCCACGTTCTTCATCTTCACTATCATTATCATAATGGCTATTACTAAAACCAGATGATTCATTGATATCTTGATTTGATGATTGATTCAATTGTTGTGATGATTCTGATGATGGATTTCTTGTTGTTGTTGTTGTTGTTGGACGACGATGTTGTTGTTGTTGTTGTTCAGTATCGGCCATTGTACCAACCGTATAATAGGCTACTGCTGATGAATAAATTAATGCTGGAAAGATTGATTCATTTCGTTCTTGAGCTGTTTCAACTAAAATCCGTAGTGGTCCTTTTGGACATAAAACTGCAACAAGATCCCATACAGATATGACACCCAGCACTACCCAAACGGTCCAATCTGGTAAGAATTTTATAAATACCAATGCCATTAATGCTGATATCATAATCAAATATCCTTGTTGCAGTATTAATGGCCCTTTCCAATGGATACAAATCATGCCAACAACACCGAAATTCCACATGAATAAAAAAATTGTATAAATATCGATAGGAATGTTATAGGCTCGTAAAACTTCACTTAAATACATAAAAGTGAACAAAAATAGTAGCATCAATGAAGACATGATCAACCATCCATGAATCACTTTGTAACAACGAAATTTATATAAAACGATCAATATTGTTGTCATTACAATGATGAATCCAAGAAGAATGAAAGCATTAGCAAATGATTGCCATATTTTTGTCGTAGGTGCTACAGTTTGATCAGTAAATGGTGTATAAACCATATAAACATTGGTGGATCGATAAAAACTTATCGTATTCATTGTGACAACCACCACCAACATACACAACGATACCGGTATGAATAATTTGATAACATGTTTGGCACCATATTTAAGTTCTTCTTCATGTTCCGCATCATCATCATCATCGTCATCATCTTCATCATCATCGATGCCATCGCCATCAATATCAAATATTCTATGAGGAACGTTGTGTACACCACCCTCACCACTGCTGCCACGATATGTTCGACGATTACTACCAGAAATACCAGCATCGTTTCGTGGTTGAATATGTTCATTTTCAACTAAACGTTGAGGACTTTGGCCTGAAATCATGACCGGATCATTTTGTTGGACAGGATCTCGAAGATTTGATCGACGAATTTTTCGATTTTTTCGATTAGAATGCGTTGATTCTTTACCACTACTGCCACCATTTTGATTTGATTGGTGGCTTGGCTCTACATCGGTATTCATCTGAGCCAGCTCGATCGATTGGAACTATTTTATGATGAAAAAAAACCCCACAACAAAACGTTAATGGATTTTAATCATTTTTTTTCTCAACTTACTTTAGGATTAATAATGCTATTATTCATCAAAACAAAGATAGGGTTATATTCAAATGATAATGAAAAAAAAGATAGATTTGATTTTTATTATCAGCAACAGAAAAAAACCACTAAAAGAAATTCTTTAAAATAAAGCTTTTATCAAATAAAACAAAAAACAACTGACAGCATTCTGAGATCAATGTGGGCGGAATTGATAACAATGCCATCTACAATATTTCTTTCATTTTTTTTTTTTCGTTTGTTTGTTTATATACACCTGATTTGATTTCGTATTCGATTCGATTCTAGTTCTGTGGTAAATGATGATTATTTTGATTATTATTATTGACAATGACTGAATCATCAAAGACAAAAAAGAAATTATCGAAAATTGATGAAAAATTACTGGACACATTGAAACATTATGATTCTTTGTATGGATTTTTTTTTAAAAATTATATCATGAATCAAATGCATACATTTAAGATTTTTTGATATTTTATAGCTATGAAAAACCACCGCCTGGACTTTTCAAAGAAAATGATGAAGAAAAACCAGAGGATGTAATACCGGATCTACCAGAGAATAAAGCTGCAAGAGAATTTTTGGCCAAAGCACCAACCAAAGGATTATGGATGCCATTAGGTAAAGAAGTAAAAGTAATGAAATGTTGGCGTTGCAAAATCTATGGACATCGTAGTGGCGATAAAGAATGTCCATTATTCATGTCCGGTAATCGTGCTATGGAAGAATTTCGACATGCACATGAAGATCCAATGTATAATTACATTAAAGAGAATGAATTTCGTGAAAAAATGAAAAAAGTTGAAATGTTGAAAACATTGTTACAACAATCTGATGATGATGATGATGATGATAATGATAAACATGGAAAAAAGCGAAAAAAGAAACAATCTACTTCTTCTTCTTTGAAAAAGAAGAAAGAAAAAAAAGATTCACGTCGTAATAAGCATCGACGTAAAAAGTCATCATCATCGTCATCGTCTTCAGATTCTGATTCACCATCATCATCATCATCATCATCCTCGTCGTCGTCGTCAGATGATCATCACTCAAAACGTCATAAGAAAAAGAGAAAAAAGGAACATAGTAAAAAGCATAGAAAACATCATACATCGAAAAAGAGATAATCGATAGGAAACAAAAAATTCAAAAATTCTATATTGCCATTTATCGTTTGCGGTATACCGTTGAATGTGAGGAATTTCCAAATTAGCACTTGAACAACGATTAATATAATCTTAATATTTATTATTGATTAATGCAGATATATATAATCTCTTGTTCTGATTTTCCATCACTGTAAATAAAGTAAAAAATTCCATTACTGAATAAAATTGATTGATTGGACATTCAAATTGCAAAAAAAAAATAAATCATGATTTTCTAAAATTCCGAACAAAACACCTATTCAACAATAGATGGCAGCATCATTGAAAACAATAAGGTGACGTGTAGCAGATTACCACAAAATTCTTCGGCATATTTTCTTGTCTCGTTGTCGGCTTTTTCTCCTTATCAACAACAACAACAACAACAATTAGCAATAACGAATACTTTTTTTCTATAATTTGTAACGAAAATCATCTGATATATAATGGAAGAATATGTCGAATCGATGGAAGATCGTGATGGTATTCGATTCAATTGGAATCGTTGGCCACAAACTAGAGTGGAAGCTGCTAAAGTGGTACTTCCATTGGGCTGTTTATTTACACCATTGAAAGAAACTCGTCGTGATGCTGCACCATCATCGCTCCAATATGAACCGGTTGTTTGTGCTCGGCCAAATTGTCGATCCATTTTGAATCCATATTGTCAGGTATGTCTTGTACAATTTTGTAATTTAATATATAAATAAGTAATTGGAGTAATAAAATAATTTATTTATTATTTATTATCAAAGGTCGATTATCGAGCTAAAATTTGGGTTTGTCCTTTCTGTTTGAATCGGAATTCGTTTCCAAACCATTATCATCAAATCACTGAAACATATAAACCTGCTGAATTGGGTCATTCTACTGTGGATTATACGATTTTACGAGCACCAATTAGTACACCGCCAATTTTTCTTTATGTCATTGATACTTGTATCGAGGAAGAAGAATTGAATGCATTGAAAAGTTCCATTCTTAATTCATTAAAATTATTGCCACCTAATGCATTAATATGTTTGATTACATTCGGTCGAATCATTAGCTTATGGGAAATCAATACAAATTTACGGTCTTTTGTATTTAAAGGAAGCAAAGATTATACAGCCAAACAATTGCAAGAATGGTTGTGCATACGAAATGCCGTACAACAAGTCCAACAACCAATGCCGCAACATCCAAATTCACCAATGAATGTCAACAAAACCAATATGGCGCATAAATTTCTTCAGCCAATTTCACAAGCAGATTTCATTCTTACCGATATTATCAATCAGATTACTCGCGATTCTTGGCCAACTCCTCAAGCTAAACGTCCTCTTCGTGCTACTGGAGCTGCATTATCGATTGCTATCAGTCTATTAGAGATAACTTATCCAAATTGTGGTGCTCGCATAATGATGTTCATCGGTGGACCTTGTACCACTGGTCCGGGAATGATTATCGATGATGATCTAAAAAACACGATTCGTTCACATCATGATATCGAAAAAGATAATTGTAAATACATGAAAAAAGCTATGAAACATTATCAAGCGTTGGCTCAACGGGCAGCCGTAAATGGTCATACAATCGATATTTATTCTTGTGCTCTCGATCAAACTGGATTACATGAAATGAAATATTGTGTCAATTCCACTGGTGGTCTAATGATTATGGGCGATTCATTTGATTCGAATTTGTTTAAATTGTCATTCACACGAGTGTTTGCAAAAGATAAAGAAGATCGTTTAAAAATGGCTTTCAATGCTGTGGTCGAAATAAAGACTTCTCGGGAGCTAAAAGTTTCCGGCTGTATTGGATCATGTGTATCGATGAATGTTCGTAATCAATATGTTTCGGATACAGAAATCGGCATTGGAAACACTGCACAATGGAAATTTTGTTCGTTGACTTCAAGTTCGACAACTTCATTTTATTTTGACATTGTACAAACGCAAACGACCAATCAACAACAATACGGATTTATTCAATTTGTCACTCAATATCAAGGAATTGATGGTTATCGCCATGTACGTGTAACAACAATTGGACGTGAATTCAGTACGACTGATTTTGCATTTGATCAAGAAAGTGCATGTGTTTTATTGGCTCGTTTAGCATGTCATCGGGCCCAAACCGAAGCTAATGGACCAGATGTACTTCGTTGGCTTGATAGAAATCTGATTCGTCTTTGTCAACGTTTTGGTGAATATAACAAAGAATCACCCGAAAGTTTTCGATTAGGTCCATTATTTAGCATGTTTCCACAATTTATATTTCACCTACGTAGATCACAATTTATACAGGTTTTCAATAACTCTCCCGATGAAACATCATTTTATCGTCATTCATTATTCCGTGAAGATGCCTACAATTCTTTGGTAATGATACAACCGACATTACTTGCATATTCATTCAATGAGCCTACACAACCAGTGATGTTGGATACTTCGAGTATCCATCCTGAACGAATTTTAATGATGGATACATTCTTCCATATTGTTATATTTCATGGTGAAACTATTGCTGCTTGGCGTAAAGCAAACTACCATCAACAACAAGGATATGAAGCATTCGCTCAATTACTTGGTGCACCGGTTAAAGATGCTCAAGATTTAATGTTGAATCGATTCCCATTGCCTCGATACATTGTTTGTGATCAAGGATCATCGCAGGCACGTTTCTTGTTATCTAAAGTGAATCCATCACTTACCCATAATTCAACAGCTGGTTTCTATGGTGATCGTGCACAAGCACCAGTTTTGACCGATGATGTTTCATTCGAATTATTCATGGAACATCTTAAAAAATTGGTCGTTTCATCGGCTTCAAATTAATGTTTTTTTATGGCAATTATTCTGAAAAAAATGATGATTATTGTGTTTGATTGGAAATGAATGATGATGAAGTAAATGTTTTTTTAAGATGATAATAATTTTTTTATTTTATTAAATTATAAAATTTTCATTAATTAGTAGTAATAGAGTTTGTGTGTTTGCAACAAGTGAAAAAAAAGATAAAAGTTTAACAGATGGCAGCACTTTCATAAATTTAAATTAGATACACCAAATCAAATAGGCTTTGTTTAGTAAAATTTTTTTTAGTTTATAAAATAAATAAAATTCAAATTACAATATTTTTGACGATAATAATAGTAAAATAGGAAAAATGCAACATTCAAATTCGGTATGTTGTATGTGTATGTGTATGTGTATTATGGATGGATCGAATGTGGTGTTTGAAAAATAAAATGATGATGAATGAAAATGCAAAAATTGAGAAAATGAAAAAAAAAACATAATCAACAAATGAAATATAATAAATTGTTTAAACTTTTAAATAGGCGTCATGATGATGATGATGATGATGATGATGATCACCATTAATAGGTAGTAGATTTGTATTGTGCTGTGTAGATTTTTCTGTATTCGATGAAATTATCATCATACCACCACCACCACTACCACCATCATTTGAATTATTAGATTCTAAAATATCCATAGATAATGGCGATGACAATGAAAGTTGTTGTGGTAACCATAATGTATTTTTATTTGTTTCTTTATCTAATGTTTTATATAAACATGATGACGATGATGATGATTCCGAAGATTTATTCAAAAAGTTAAAACAATGAGATTTTTTGAATAAAAAGTAATCAACAACAATCACCTGTAAACAAACAAAAACAATGAAATTGAATTTCAATCACGAGCAGTAACAACATTTTTTTACCTCTAAAAATATAGCCAAAATAAAATGTGCCAATGCAAGAAGTAGCATAGTGATTCTAAATTCCAGGGTAACATGTTTCATGAAGAGTTCGAAAAAATTTGCTATAAATACCGGTGGATAGACAACCAAGATAGCAGTCAATATTGTCATTACAATGAGCGAAAGAAGAAACAGTTCTAAAATGATGTAAAAAATTATATTAAATTAAATTATGATTCATAATTTATTGATATTGAATAATTACGATTCGTATACAAAGGCTGTCTGTATGGTTTGCCTTTGGAGAAAACAATGGCCAATGTAATATATTGAAAAACGGATGAAGCAAATAATGCATAATTATCATGACTGGCTAAATCATCATCATCAGCATTGGCTACATGTGGCTGATACCAAGGTTGTTCTTTCACGATCATTATCGATAGCACTTGCATGATGGTGACTAAAATAATTTGCAATACAATGGAAGCCAATGGTGTTAATCCAATCAACGATGAAGGCGGTGGATTACGATCTAATCGATCAAATGCTCTATTACGACCAACTGTTGCGTTTTGAAATAATAATTCATATAAGAATATAGAGTATACTCATATAAATTTCGAATATTGGATACTTACACAACATGACGAAAAGAGTGATCAAAAATAGATCGATGTAAAGGAATTCCTTGTCGGTTAAATTTGAATAAAACTGAAATGCAAAAAAAAACAATCGATTAATGAATCATGAGAATTGTAACTAACCGTATAAAGAATTATCACAGAAATGAATTGAGTGAGACTGTAACAAGCCATATATTTGAGAATGCCAAAAGCAGTAACAATTGAGGCTCGACCTTCTCTTATCAAAGTTGGAATACAGGAAATGTTTGGCCTTTTCGATGTGAATGGTGATGCAACTGAGGCTTCAGTTTCTGATAATGATACACCGGCATGAGCTGTTTTGTTTGTGAATAAATTCAAAGATTAATAATTAAAAAATTGTTCATAGAATAGAGGTTTTTTTTGCCACAAATACCTGCTTTGAGGGCGCCACAATCATTGGCGCCATCTCCACACATTCCAACGTAATAGCCAATTTCTTGAAGCAATTCAATCAAGTATTGCTTTTGTTCAGGTGACATACGAGCAAACACAGTACCTCGAACGGCAACTCTTTTCAATATGTCAGGATAATGTTCACGTAAAACATGAAATGTTTTACCACTAACAGCAACGTGTGTTTTATCACGTTCATCCATTGATGACAATTTATATTTAATAGAATCAGAAATATGGGCAGCATTGGCAAATTTCCAATAAAGTTTCGGTACATCAGCGGTAACCGTTTCTGGATCAATTTCCAAAAGTATAACTTTATGCCATGGTTGTATCATGGAACATTCACGTGCAACGCTCAATGCTGTCAACATATTGTCGCCAGTAACCATAACAGTTCTGATGTTTGCCATAATCAATGTTTCAATAACTTCAGTGGTCTCTGGTTTCAACATATTTCCCATGACTAGCAAACCAAGAAATGTTAGGTTTTTTTCCAGATCTTCGCGAGCTGCTCGTTGAATTTTATGATAATTCAATGATGTAAGAGGTCTATAAGCAAGTCCAAGAACCCGATATCCTTTTTCTGTATATTCTTGAAGCGTACTCGTATAATCAGAAGGCAGTGAAGTAGGATCACACAACGAAACAATCATTTCTGGTGAGCCTTTTGCATGTAATTCAAATTGTGTTCCATTGATTTGTCGTACAACCACACTCATTCGTTGAAGACTTGATGAGAATGGAAATTGTCGAATAATACCGACTTCTTTGTTTTCATAATCGGATTTAGGTCTTACAACACTTGGAGCCAATAAATCGTATTTGGAACTATCATTCACATCTGGTTCTTCCAATATCCATCCAGTAGCTTCAAACATTTTTTGATCTAAAGGATCACCAATCATTTTGCCTTCAATCAATGTTAACGAATGACACGATGCTAGACTAATTAACAAAGGCCCGTATTCGAGATCAGCCAAATCAATGATTGAACTGCCAAATCGATTTAGCGTTTTATTTATTGGAACAATCTCAGAGAAGCTAAGATCATCTTCTGTTAATGTTCCGGTCTTATCGAAACAAACACAATTGATACAGCCACTAATATTGATCGATCTTGGTGAAATACAAAATATTTCCGATTCACGTAAACGTGATTGAGCAAACACCACGCCAATGGTCATTGCAGCAGGCAAAGCTGGTGGTATGACAATGGTGATCAAATCCAGAGCCTTAATCACAATACTTTGCCAATTGACTCCACGTTGAGTTTTCAATACAACAGTATAGATGAAACCGATCAAGGCCATCATTGCCAGAAATCCAACAAATTTATGTATATGACGATTTAATTTGAAATCAACTGGTTTTGGAAACATTATCGAACGAACTAGCTCTCCTTTGGCTGTTTGATAACCAATTCGAATGACAACAGCACGAACTTTGACATTATTATAATAACGTGTTTGAATCACTTTGGTTCCACAAAACAATGTATGTTTAGCATGTTCTTTAGCATTATAGCTCATTTGTAATGAAGTACTAGGCAATGGTGTCTTTGTTACTGGTACACTTTCACCTAAAGTAAAATTTAGTTATTAAAATCGAATCAATAAAAAAGAAAGACTTACCCGTAAGCATTGATTCATTAACAATAACGTTTCCAGAAACAAGCACAGCATCACATTGCATTGTACAGCCAAATGAAGGTACTTCAATAATATCACCGGGAACAAGTTGTGTTGATTCAATCTTTTCATAAACATCATCTTTTGCTCTACAAACATTTACCGTATCGGTACCTTGAACGGTATCACGTAATTGTTTTTGATTTCTTCGGGTCTGTATAACACTGGAAGTAAGTGAAAGCGCTGACATAACAACAATACAAGAAGCATAATAATAGTAACTATCACAAGTCCAAACAATCAAGCTGAATACTTGAAAGATATAAAATGGTTCGAGTACTTCTTGAAACAATATTTGCATAACGGTTTGCACTGTCACTTCAATTTCATTCAATCCATAGATTTTCCTTCTATAAAATTGATTTTTGATTAATGTGGTTGATTCTTTTTTTGATGCTGAATAAGAAAAAAATTCTTACCTTTGTTTTTGTTCTGAAGCAGTTAGACCTTTTTGATTGTAAAAATATGTGCATTTAATATCTTTGTCAAGGCCACGTACTTTATAAAATTCTTTCGAATCATTATCCCAAACGTATCGAACTTTTTTATTCTCAAAATAAATGATTGAATCAACATATTCAAATTGACCATTTGCTTTTGGTATTGCTGACCAACCGGTTGGATTCGAATTTCCAATTTGATGATATGACAATTGATCATTCATAATATGTACAACATTTTCGGTAAATTTTTGCATAAAATGGTCCTATATAATATATGATGGTAATTGATGATAGTGTGATTAACAAAATTGTATTACTTACAATTAGCAAAACTTTTTTAGCATTCTCCAATGAACATTTATTGTGCGTACAGAACAACATCCAATGAGGTTTCCAATGAAAAATAAGCCGTAAAATTCCACAGGTTAAAATGATGGCTGCCCATGTAACGAAAGTTTTCAATGGATTAGGCGTAAAGCCATAGATTTCCTGTAAATATATATAAAATTCAATTTTTCAATTTTTGTTTTTATTTCTTCTAATTCTTACCATCTGATCTTCATCTTCAGCATTTATATATCTTACTCCGGGTCGAATTGGAGGTGGATTTACTTTTTTCGATTTAAATGCATCTGTTTTAGAGGCATAATGTTTATTAGTAGTTTTTTCAACATTATTATTCATGGTTGTGGAAAAAAACCATACGATGAAATGAAAATCAAATCAAATCAAATGAGTTATTATTATGACATTTATTTTACGAAACCAACCAGCCAAATGAGAAATAAAATCACCGGTCTAGCATCATTATTAATTAGATAGATGTTCCAGATGTTAACAGTTCTCAACCAGGGTCAATACACAAACACTCACACGACAGACTAATTCACAAAAAATCAATTCTCCACTACTAAAAACAATCGTCCAAACACAACAACATTTGGCATTGATTTCCCACACACACACACACAGTTATCACAGTCATCAATTAGATTGAAATTGAATTTAAATTAAAAATAAAAAATGTACAGGAAGAGAAAAATCATCATCATAATAATAGTGTGTGTGTGTGTTAGGGGGGCGAAACAAACAACAAATCTAATCAAATCAATATAATGATAACTAATAGTATGCTGATTATATATTGATGATGATGACAATGATACTTTTTTTCAGTTGTTTACAGGTATCCAATTAATGAAAATGAAAATATATATAGTTCGTTTGTGTATTTCAACTATGAATAGTAATATATTTATTCAGATGAATGAATAAAGTATCAATAAATCAACAAAAACAAAACACACAGAGCTAAAGCTGAAAAAATGACAAATTGAATTATCATCAGGCATATTTGTATATGATACGTTTTGAAGATTGAGAAAGAGAGAGAGAGACAAAGAGAGAAAACAAATCACATTTGCTAAGTGATTATTATTTAGCAGGTGAAACTAATCTAAATCTACAACAACAGCAAACTCATTTGTGATTATGAATTCAAAAAAAAAAAAAAAAAAAAGAAAACCTAATTATTTGCTTTCTTTGGTCATGGCGTTTTCATTTTTCATTTTTGTTTCAAATGAAAAATCTAGATAATTTTTTTTATAGCTTTTTGTGACCGGTAAAGAGATCATAAAAATTGAAAAAAAAAAAATTGTTGTAAATTCAATGTGCCTAAAAATTGACAATACACTTAATCACACATGTATTTTATATTGACAGGAAAAATTTTTTTTTTCTAAACAATAATTAAAACTACGCAGGATGTTTACCTTTATTATCTCTATGATTATTTGTTCCTTTATTATTGAAGGTATTGTATAATTTTGGCTGAAGAAGTTCTCTTTCGTTTGGTTGTTGATGATAATCTTCATCTGCTTCGAAAACACTCATCCGTTCTTTTTTTTATTATTCTATTTTCTTGGTCGTAGGGTCAGTTCAGAACAGCAAAACTCTTTGAGCTTAGTGAATGGGGGTGGTAGGTGTTTGTTTGTTTGTTTGCCAGAAACTCGATGATGATGATGATGAATATGGATTGTAATTTGATGCAAATGAATTGAAATTATCTTTGATTGAAACAAAAAGAAAGAAAGATTAGAAATAAAAAATTTTCAAATCAACAAACAAATCCAAAATACCTGATCACACGAATAGAAATGATGATTGATGAAAATGAAAAAAAATTGCACTTGAATTTGAATTTTTTTTTTTTTTTGAAGATAGAAACGAAAAAAATTGTCAACAGTCACCAGACGTCGTCGTTGTCATCATTTCGTTCGAATCAATATATCAAACTTTGGCTTAGTGGTTGATGGTTGATTTTTGATTGATTACGTGAATATAATAGGCCAATTAGACAGACAAACAAATACGACAACGATAATCTGTGTGTGTTTGTGTCAATAAATAAATGATGATGAAAAAATAGATTAATATTGTTTTTTAGAAAAAAAAAACAAAACTCAAAACAATTAACAATTACTAATCATCATCATCATCATCATCGTCATCATCATCATCATTTTGGGTTGATAGACCTCAACAAGAAAAATTTTTACAACTTTCTATTTTGTACATGTTTGTTTGTGTATCAGGCAAACAATCTGATATTGCATAGAAATGAAACAAATCTATTTTTTTTTTTTTTTTGTTGCTGCCGATGAAATCTATTTTTCTACCATCGAATATCGATTTTAGAAAAAAAATGGATCATTTTAAATATCAAAAATTAAATACTTTGAACTTTAGCCTTTGGATCTTGTTGCTTTCGATTATAATAATGAAAAAATGGTGCCTTTAACGATGATGATTGATTACATTTTAAAATTAGCAAACCAGAAAAAAAAACTTTCAATGTGCGTGTGTCATTTTTTTTTGATGACGAAGAATTCAATTTTTTTTCTCTAGACACATACAGTATATCGTTTTTTTTACCGGAGCAACATTGAATTCACCAGAGAGAGAGAGAGAGAGAGAGAGAGATATGGAGAAAAAACGTAAGCATATCATCTGTATGTATGTTGCATTCTTTTCTTGATTTCATTTGAATTTGAATTTCATACCATCATGATCATAAAAATTGTACTTGGTTGTCGTCACACACACACATACAATATGATGATGATGAAAGCATGGCAAAAAAAAAAAAAAAAATTCACGGAAAAACTAAAATACCAGAAAGAAGAAAAAAAAAAAACTTACTTGAATTCAAACGAAATAATAACGATGATGATGATGATGATGATGATAAGATTATGATTTAATTATCATCACACATCATATATATAGAGAAGAATATATATCGTAATTAAAAACAAAAACGAAGGCAATCATCGAATGATGTGCCTGTATTAGGATTTAACGACAACAACAACAACAACAACAACCAAAACACATTTTAACATGGTGTGGTATTCGATATTCGAGTGTATGTTACATATACATCCACATACATACATTCGGCAACGTTGTTGAATGTTTTTTTTTCTCGTTTCCAATTCTTCTGCTTCTTTGTTGTTAGGTTGATGTGGTGGTTGTGTGACAAACAAACAGAATATGGTGTTTTTACACAACAAAAAACAACAATAAAATTTAAGAAAAAAAAAAAATAAAATATAAAAACATACGACAATAACAAAATCATGCTCTTTATACTCCGCAAGTTTATTTATTTATTTTTTGTTTTTGTTCAAAAAAAAATACGATGTTTGATGTCTCTGGTTTGTGTGTGTGTGTGTGTGTGTGTTTGATATTTTCAATAGACAAATCAACCACATCTTTTTTTTCCAGTTTATACATTGGCGCCACAATATTGGCTTCATTTTTATACCACTACCATGCATGCATGTGCATGTACACATACGGTATTTGTTCCAGTTATTTTTGTTGAAAAAAAGTAGATAGATTAATTTACATCGTATGAATTTGGTGATCAATGTGCGCGCGTAAATTTAAATTTTTTTTTTTGTTTGAAAATAAATGATTATTATATTTATTCATCAATGTTTTTAATGCATAATATTTGAAATAAAGCGATGAATTATAATTGGTGAATAATTTCATTGTAAATGAAAATGTTCGAGTGTCAGTGTGTATGTGTGTGTGTGTATGGTAAGTGGAATAAAATAGCAGATCGTAATTAGATTGTAAATTACAAAACATAAAAAATGTTCATCATTTATCTAAAGAACTAACACTGCTTGATGAACTATGTATTAGATCAGAATATTCATCAAATTGTTTTTGTTTTTGTCGTACATTCCAATGTAAACATTCGGCCAATGATTCAAACCAATCACTAATTTGATCTTCAGCACAGATTGAAGGCACCGGATAAATTGATGTTGTTACACGAACACTATCGCCGACTTTTATTTCTTGTCTATTACGACCATCGAATGATACCCATGCAGAATTTCGTGAATCAGGTGATACACAGATTTTTAGCTCAACACCGGCCGGTACAACAATTGGACGGAATGATAATGAATGTGGACAGATTGGTGTTATCATCATGGCCGGTACACTTGGATGAATCATCGAGGCACCAGCTGCAACAGCATATGCTGTACTGCCGGTTGGTGTTGATACAATTAATCCATCACCTTGAACAGTAGTGATACGTTTACCATCGATATATAAATCAACATTAGACAGATATGGTGATGGTCCACGATCAACGACCATTTCATTTAATACTAAATGACAATGATTTTGTGGCTTAATCATATTGTTCTTATTATTATTATCGTCACCATTATTCATGAAAATATTGTCGCTATCACGAACAATATTACATCGTAGACGACTACGTAATGTTAAAGCTGCATTTCCTATACATTGTACCCATAACAAAACAAAACAAAAATGAAAATAATGAATATATTGACCATCAAAGATTCATATTCCAACCTTTAAGAACATTATTGATTTGTTGTTGAAAATCATCAAATTCGAATGGTGTAAGAAAACCTAATGAACCCATATGGAAAGCCATTACAGGTGGAACGCTTTCCTGTGTGTTGAAAAAATTAACAAATTGAATGAATGAACGATTGTCTTTATATTCATACCTGAAATAATGACGATGCATATAGTAGGGTACCGTCACCACCAAGACATACAATAAAATCTACTTTATCTGTAAGATCTTCGGTACCATCACGAAATGTTCGAACCTTATCTTTTATTGATAAAAATAATGGATTATTTTTCAGATGAACATCTTCAAGTACACTGGTTTCAATGAAAACTGTCATATCTTTTTCCTATGTTAACAAAAAATGAATGAATAAATGAAACAAAAAACAAACAAACAAACAAAAAAATCTCAATACAAACCCAAATTAGCCATTGAACTAGATCTAAAAATGGTTTAATAATCAATGAATCGTGAATTTTTTTTATCACTAAAACACTGGCTGGTGTTTTATGCCAAATTAAATGTTGGCTAGCAGGATCTTGAATCGTCCTTTTTTTCCATAAAAAAAAAAAAAATCAAATAAAAATCAAAAACTTTTTACAAACATTCTATTTTAACTTACATGACCATAGCAGGATTTCTCATAATACTTCCACATGGTCCAAATTGACAACACTGATTCGGTGCATTCAATGATCGTGTTCGGCTATTTATAATCAATAAGAAGAAATCATTTTAGTCATATAGGTGAAAACAAAATTTTTTAAAAAAGAAATGGTATAAAGAATCAATCGATTCGACAATCAGTTTTTCTTTTCTTTTTTTTTGGTTTCAACACTTGTTGTTGTTGCTGTTGTTATATATGACGAAGATAATCTCTATAAATGTTTGGCTATATAAATGGAAAAAAAGCTTAAGAGGCTCGTCTTCGTCTATTTAAAAAAAAATTTGAAAAAAAGGGAAAAAAATGATCACGACGACCACCACTACTACCGACGCCGCCACCACCATCACCATCATCATCATTATCGTCAATAATCATATTCAAAATTGTGGCCGGACGCCATTTAAAATGAAATGATAATAATGGCCTTTTGATGATCACGAACAAAAAAATGATGATGATGATGATGTTTGAAAGATTTCATAGTTGTTGGTCAACTAATGATATGAATCATACGATGAATTGAATAAAGCAAACGCACACACACACACAAACATCTCTCTATGGATCGATCAATCAATCAATCAATCATATAACCACAACAACAACAACAACAACATTGGCTTTATTTTTTTTCTATTCTAAACAAATCAAGGTGAAGACTTTGATTTTTTTTTTAAATTTTACTTGTTCATCATCATCATCATCATCATCATTTTTTTTCTTATTCAGAAAACCTTTCTACTTTTTTTTCATTAATCGTTTAGCGGTAATTGCATTCATTGTAATTGTGGTTATTGTCCAATGAAAAAACATTGATGATGATGATTATAATCTGCAGAGACACAGACAATTTGTTTGAAACAAGAAGACAACATAATTGTATGGTGTAGTGTTTGTGTGTATCAAATTAGCTTTTTAAAACAATTTTCAAATATAATGGAAGGGTGATGATAGAACACAACACACACATACAAACAAATAAAGAATTGACAATCAGCAACAACAACAACAAATAAAAAATTCGATTAAGAACCATCATGGTAATCGTGGTAACCAACAAACGATAAAGAATACAGAATATAGATAAACTAAACTAAACAACTACTACCTTGTGCACTACAAATGAAAAACAGTGAACCGTAAGAATCAAAGATTTCAAGGTAAAAGTCATATGTAATTATCATTCATGAATATGAATGAATGAATGGAAAATCAATAATTCTGGTAATTGTGTTTAGAATTTTGTTTCTTGGAATTTTTTTTTTTTTTATCAAATAAAAATTCATATGAAACGTATTCATTTTTATAGCTCTATTCCGATCTGACACAAAAACAACAACAACAACAACGACGACAACGACAACGACGATGAAAAAAAAACATGAACCAACAAGGACATATATATTATAATTAAATCATCAATAAATTTAAATTAATCATTACCCTCGAAATGAAATGAATAAATCAATGACAATGATAATATGATGATGATGATGATGATGATGGTGAATGATGAATAATGGCAATGATGATAAACAAAATCACGTTTTTTTTCACTGTCGAACCTAATCAAATCAAATCAAATCAGAACATGCTGAACTGAAAAAAAATGATGCTGATGATTATGCTGCTGTTGGTGGTGGTGGTGGTGGTGAGCTAAATATTGAGTGCGGGTAAAAGTTGAAATTGAAGTTTTGTCAAAAAAAAAAAGTTCAGCAGTAAAACAATAATAATAACAACAATGGAAACCAAAACAGAAGTTTCTTCGTTGATTGGTCGATATTTATTGTTGAAAATTGGTGCTACAACAACAAAATTATTATTTTTAGCCAAACCAAACAACAACAACAACAACAAGAAAAAAAATCGAAGAATTTTGACGTGAAAATAAAACAAACAGGATATTTTTTTTTTTTTCAAAAATAGGATATATCTGCCAAAAATAATACCATTACCAATAATGTGAAAGAGAAAAAAAAAGAAAAGAAAAGAAAAAAATTATTGTCAAAAAAATAAAAGTTTCAATTTCAAAAGAGAAAAAACATCATCATTATGTGTGTGTGTGTGTGTGTTCCAAATGATTGGCTTGTCATTGGCGCGTTCAATTAAAAAAAAATAGCCAGAAAAAAAACAAAATTCAAAAATTAGAGCCCATTGCCGATATTGAATTTTTTCAGGTCAATGTTAATTGATTTTGACAATTATTTTCTACTTTTTTTTGCACCAGCAACACTAGTAGTAGTAGTAGTAGTAGTTTTCGTTGTCTTATCCATTTTTTGGGATGATGATCATAATCATCAGCACCAACGCCAATGATCATCATCCAGATTTAGGAGAAAAAAAAATCATCCTAATTGAATGGTGAATTTTTTTTTTCGTTGCAAAAATTAGTTAGTTCATTATTACTAATAGTCAAATATATCGTAAATCTTTCGAATCATCAGCATTACATAAGTCACATGAAAAACATTCATTCAGTCAGTCAGTCAAATCATCATCATCAGTCAATTATAATTGGGCTTTTGCCGTTGTTTCGGTAGGTTTTGTGGACTAATTTCATATTTTTGTTGTTGTTGTCGTTCCACTATTTTTTTCCATTTTTTGTTGTTGTTGAATCAATTATCGGGCAGAGAAAAAAAATTACAACTTTTTTTTTTGCTCATTATCACGATAATAATGTGTAAATGAATGGAATAATTTTTTTCCGAAAAAAAAATAAATGGTAAACAGTTTCCAAAAGTGTGTGTCCCAGAAATTTCATTTCATTGAAATGAATGCAAACAAAAAAAAATTCAATTTCACATAGCGTGGGGTGTGTGTGTGTGTAAATTGGCAAAAAAAAATCAATCAGCATATCATCATGAGAATTTATGCAAATCATCATCATCATCATCATAGAAATTATCGTCATCATCTAAGCGAAAAAAAAACATATAGAAAAAAAAATGAAAAACTTACTCAAATTCACATGAATTTGAATCTATTAACGATGATGGCAATAATGGATAATAATAATCAACTGGATTTATTGTTGAACAACAATGTCCATTGCTAATCTGTTGCTGTTGCTGATGATGATGATGATAATGATAATGTTGATTTTGGTGTTTTTGATGATGATGATGATGGTGGTGGTGGTAACTATTATTTGGTTCCAATGTCATAATTGTTGTTGTCAATATACATTAGTCAAACGAATCAAACAAACGAAAAACAGAAAAAAAATTCTCATAAACAAGTTTATTATTGGGTTACAAAAAAATTTCTGGTTGGATTAACAAACATTTTTTTTTTTTTTTTTTTTGCTTTGCGAACACGACCTAATCAGAAGGAAAAAAAACAAACATTCATCAAATTCGAATTTAAAGTTCAAAATTCGAAATTGAAATGAAAAGAAAAGAAAAAATTCGAACAACAACAAGAAAAAAACGATGAAAAAAATTGATGACCATGAAAATTAATTTTTTTTTTTTCGCTGGAAAAATTTTAAACTTTGATGAATGCGAACAACAACAAAAATGATATTGTGACGAATCTTTTAAGGAAGAAAAGTGTTTCATTTTTTTTACAAAGAAAAAAAAACCAAAACGAATCAAGTACAGTACAAACGAACAAAGAAGGACGACCAGAACAAAAAAAAATTTTTTTTTGTCACATATGATAAATATATGAACATCCATTGGAGGCTATTGAATGAATGAATGATGGTAAAATATAACAATCATTAAATGGCAATGAGTGTGTGTGTGTGTGTGTGTTTGTTTGTTTATTTTGTGTGTGTGAAGCCAATGACCATGATTGGCCCCGAAAGAAAAAAATGTAATAAAATTTCCTCATGTTTTCACAATGACGATGTTGACGGAAAAAAACTGAGAAAATTTTTTTGTTGTTGTTGTTGTTGTTGTTATTAATGGTAATCATCATCATCTCTTTTATTATATTGATCGTTGTTCAACTTACCGAAATTTTGATCGAGCTAATTTTATGGCATTTGTTTTTGCAATAATTGTATCGATTTCATCTTCATTTTTACTTGTTGATGATTGTTTTTGTTGTTGTAGTTGATCATTTTCATTGATCGTTATTAAATTCATATTTTTATGTATGAATGATGATGATGATGATGATGAATTATTCGTTGTAGTTTCTCCATTAAAATTATCATCATCACTTGAATATTGTGTTTGATATCTGATTAATCGATGTAATCTTGTGGATTTTTTCGTTTCAGAATTCATCATTATATTGAACAATGGCTGATTGATGATTTCGGTTGACAATGTTTGATGTTAATGACGACAAACGATGCTAATCATTATTTGAAACTGAATGACAGCCACAGTCATCTGTTTTTAAATCAATTGATCAAATGAATGAAAAAAAAATTTCAAATGTGAAAAAAAAACAATTTTATTTATATGATGATCATGATCATACTTTTTTTTTTTTTTCGATGACGTTCAAACGAAGATTATTTACCAGAACTCACAAACTTGTTTTGTCATCATCATCATCATCTGAGAAATTATCGATTTTCACACACGCAAAAAAAACGCACAGACAAAAATCATCATCACATCTTATTTGGATGTAGTGGTGGTGGTGGTGAGAAAAAAAAAATCAATTTACATTCGGAAAAAAAAGGAAAAAAAACTTTGAGGTGAAAATGGGAAATTTATTTCTTGTTTTCAATAAACAATTCTTGATTGAAAAGAATTTTTTTTTTTCTTTGAATTGTTGAATGCGGTAATACGATGCTACAAGAGTGATTGTGAAAAGAGAAAAATCTCTCTCTCTCTCTCTCTCTCGCGATTCATCGATGATTTAGCGATTAACTAAATGGCAAAAATGATGATGATGATGATAAGTTATTTTGGCCGGGAAAAATTTTTTTTTCTGTCGAATCGGTTGATAAGATAAGAAATCAAATGAATATACAACACACACACACACACATACAAATATAATCAATCCAATGTATTACAATACAGTGGTATATGCAAACTATGAAAAACAAAACAAAACAACCGAACCAATATATTCGATATAATAATAATAATCGATATTTCCATTTCCATTTAAATCGAGGAAAAATTTACAAAAAAAAGACGAAAAAAATTTTTTTTTTGTCTTTTTAAATACATGTTTTGTTGGGGAAAAAAAAGAAATGAAAACAAATGAAGAATGAAATGGAAGATCATCAAATATTAAATTCCAAGCAATTTAGTTGGCAACCACTATTGTTGTGATGATGATGATGATGATGAATAGACCATTTTTTTTCAGGAGATACAAATTTTTTTTCTGCCCATTCTAATCATCATCATCATTTGAATGTTTTGGCCTCGAACTAAACAAAAAAAAGAAGAAGAAGAAGAGCCTTTAGCAACAAAAATTTTTTTTTGCTTTGCGTTCTTTTTGTTTTTGTTTCGCCAAAAAAAATGGCCAAAAATCGAATCAATGAGTTATTATTTTTTTTTTTGAAAAAAGTCTAAATATAGATAAAACGAATGCAAAAAAATTACAAGTGCAAGATACAGTAACAAACAATGATGAAAACCGAAAACAAAAACCAAAAAACCAAAAAACCAAAAAAAAAATTCTTCATTCAGGTGACCAGAGATCAAGATATCTGGACAACATTGGAAATGATTATCGTATATAGTTGCTTTTTTTTTCCGAAAATTCAAACAATTATCATACACAAACAAACAAAGATCTTAATCTCAAATAGGAAAAACAATTTTTTTATTAATTTCGTTCAACAGGATTGTTGTTGTTGTTGTTGTTTTATCAAATGAAATTTTTTTCCGTTTTTGTGTTTCCTCATTTATAAACACCGTAATAATTTGAATGTGCAAACACTTTGTGCAAATTTGTTTTTTTTATAGATCGAAATAATAATAAAAAAAAGTGAAAATGATTTTGTCCCAATTATAATTATCAAACAAAATTCAAAAAAAAAAAAAAAAAAACAACGATATTTTCACACACAACCATAAAACGCGGATATGACAACAACACCTTACGGGAGAAAGAAAAATAAATTTTTCGTATTCAAAAATTTCCAAAAATTCATTTTTATCTGGACCATGGTAGTCATATATATATGACAAAACAATTTAGATTTTTTTTTCCTCCAGGCTAGCTGCTGTTTTGTTTTTTCGTTCATATGGGTTTTACTCAAAATAAACATTGAAGCTATATTTATATATATACTGGATATTTATTGAAGAAAATGGATTCTAGAATTAAAAAAACAACAAAAAAAACAACAAAAATTATTGATAAAATTGTCAATTACATCATCATCATTATTATTATTATTCACATATAATGAATGTGTGTGTACTACACAATAGATCCAATAAAATAGATGATGATAGCCAATTAGCATTTAAAAATAGTATGGAATGAATAACTTGTTGTGTTTGCCTTAATTTTTTTTTGTTGTTGTTGTTGTTGCTGTTGTTGTCCATTTGCTGCTCTCATTTTAATGATGATGATGATCATCTTCATATATGCAAAAAGAAGAAAAAAAGGAGAAAAAACGAATGAATGAATGAATGAATGAATCTAGATAAACCGTTTTATTTATTTATTTTCTCTGGATCAACGTCATGAGGATTGGAGAAAAAAAAGAGTACATTATGGAAAGTAAAAAAAAACAAAACAAAACAAAACAAAAAAAATATTCGCTTTAGAGACAATAACAATAATAATAACCGACAACGATTATCGCGGGTATATATTCAACGTTCTAATTTTGTATTGGCGTATGCTTGCCCGGTTTTGTATATAAAAAGTGATACATTTTTTGCATTTCTTTTCTTCTTTGAATTTTTTCATAATTTCAATACACACAACATGTATAATGCTGATGATCGAATCAAAATATCAACATTGAATCATCAACAAAAGCAAAAATCAACTAAAACAACAACAACAACAACAACAACTACAATAACGACGAAAATATTACAACCAAATATTGTTTTAAAAATTAAAACATTGAATCAGAATAATAATTTAGCACGAAATATTCAAACAACTAAGACGACGACGACGACGACGACTACATCAGAAACGGATAAGAAATCGGACAACAACGATTCAATCGATATTCATATTGCAACAGCCACAAATGGTAAAATTCATCATCAACAAAAAGTGAATCTAATATTTAATACGAAAATTCATCATCAACAACAGCAACAATCAATGATTCTAAATGGTGATCAAAAACAATCAAGGCCAATGGCTACTAAATTATCAACAACAAATAATCTGACAACTACAGCATCATTGACAACAACAACAACAACAACTACAACAACGACATCATCTAATTCTTTGCCAAAATCATCATCATCAAGTTTAAATTCTTCAGATAATGAGAATGATATGGAATTCCATGTTACACCATCATCGTCATCATCGTCATCATCAACAACAAGTATTAATTCATCAAATGATAGTGAACAATTATTATCAGCTGAAATTGTTACCATTAATAAAGCGTTGATTGCAGCTAAAGAGGGAAATTTAAAATTATTACAGGTAGGTTATAATTATTTTGATTTTCAATTTGACGAGATCATTCACCTAATATATAGTAATAATAAAATTGTAAAAATTGGAAAAACCAAGTTTAATTTAATTGTTGGTCATTGCACGATTATGGAAATTAAATGCAAAAAAAAACCGCCAATTATTTTGAATTCTAAACAATAGATGGCATGACTAGATTGAATTTTAAAAAAATCTTTTTTTTTTCATAGTCAATGAAAAATGTATTGGAAAAATCACGTTATATTGAAGGAACATTTGGTGCCAATCTTGTACATTATGCAGCACGAAATGGTGATGTTAATATTCTAGATTTTTTAATCATAAAATGTGGCCTTAATCCATTATTACGATCCAATGATAATAATGGATATTTACCAACACATGAAGCTGCATTATTGGGTAAAATTGAAACATTAGCATGGCTTTTAAAGATGACCAATTCATCATTAATGGATCGTGATTATTATGGACATACATATCTTCATTTAGCGGCAAGGTAAGTGGAAAATAAAATCAATGAAATTTATCGTGATTTTGGTTTTTTGTTTCAAAAAAAAAAAAAATGATTGCAAACACACAATATCAATTACACATTGTGTGGACAACAACAACAACAACAAAAATCCATATAGATCCAAAAAAAAATAGATATTTTTAGCATACCTCACCGACACCAAAAAAAAACACGAAAACAAATGCGGTAAAATGGTCAGCACAAAATTAAGGTTATATACATCATCATGTGTCATAAATTTTCGGCCACTTGTTTGATTGGTTTTTGTTGTTTTGTTCAGAACAACAACAACAACAACAACAAAAAATCAATTCTCTTTCAGTTTCAACTTGAATAATGATAATAAATAAATTAATTGAAAAAAAAATTGAAACAACAACAAAAAGAACAAAATGATGAGGTTTTTTTCTGTTTGGGTGAGAAAAAAAAAACAGAAAGTTTTGCCGCTTTGTTTCTCTCTCTCTCTCTTTCGTTCTTTCTTTCATCATTTTTTTTCAAATAAGTTACAGTGAAATGAAAAATCAAAAACCAAAAACTAGATCAAAATGAATGATGAATCATTTTAGTTTGTTGTGTAGTCATTTGTGTACTACTATTTTTGGTATTTCGTTTTTTATTTTTTAATTTTGTTTTTTTTCACTTAATTTTATTTTATGTGTTTGTTTTATTTTTCTTCGTGATTATAATCATCGACTAAAACAACAAAAAAAAATGATGAAAAGAAATGGTCATTCATCAGTAATCAATTGGCTATTAAAAGAGGCTAAAATGTCCACAATGGATATAAATAAAATGGGTGCATTACCATTACATTATGCAGCAGCTAAAGGATGTTTAGAATGTGTACGATTATTAATAGAATCACCATGTCAGAATCTAAGGTAAGAATCAATTTCTATATTTTTTTTTGCCAAAAAAAATCAAAATTTTTTCTCTTCTTTAAAATAGTGCAAATGCACAAATGGAAAACAATGTTACACCGGTTTATTTGGCTGCACAAGAAGGACATCTTGATGTTTTGAAATATTTAGTCCATATGGCCGGTAATGGTTCATTATTGATACGAGCCAAAGATGGTATGACACCATTACATGCAGCTGCACAAACGGGTGCATTAAATTGTCTTAAATGGATGGTATATATGTTTTCATTTTGAATGAATGAATTTCATTTAATTTAATTTTCACTTTTTTTTCAATTACTATTATCCATTCAAGATTGAAGAACAAAAAATTGATCCAAATATTCGTGATAATGATGGTGCAACAGCCATACATTTTGCTGCTAGTCGTGGCCATATTGAAATAATAAAATATCTACTCGAACATAATGCCTATTTGATTCATGATAAATATGGCAAAAGTCCATTGAATGATGCTGCCGAAAATGAACAAGTAGAAGTGAGTGTGTTTGCAAAAAAATTTTCTTTACAATTTCATTATTCAAGAAATGGTCTAATTTTTATTTTGTTTTCTGCCACATTTTCACGGAAATAATTTAAATAAATATCTAGTGTTTAAAATTATTGATTGAACATCATGCTTGTAAATTATATCCAACCACAACAACAATGAAAATGTTACAATCAGATCGTAATAATAAAATGACAACGATTGCAGCTAATTCGATTCATTCGGATCAAAATGGATCAAACAGCAGCAGCAGCAGCAGCAGCAGCAAAACTTTTGACCAATGATCATCATTGTCATTTATCATCATCAATGGTATTTATTTAATTCAATTTCAATGATTTATTTTTTTTTCTTTATTCCATTTTATTGATTGATTAATAGTCATGTGAATTATATCCGGATTCAAATCAACAACTACAACAACAATCAACAATGGCGTCAAAACAACAACAACAACAACAACAATTGTGTTGCCATTCTTATTGTGGTCGACAAATGTTATCAACAACCTGTCTAAATGATTATGATAATAATGATGATGAATCTACAACTATAGCAAAAATAGCTACACCGACATCAGATTGTTGTTGTACCAAGTGTTGTAAAATTTCGACCAATCATAATATTATGGCAACGAAACGTAAATCTAAATATAAAATTTATTATCCTGAACATAATAATAATGATGACGGTAACTGTATCATTGGTGGTTTGCATCATCATTTGGAATTAAAAAATCCATCTGTACGTTTACCGTCGTCGTCGACAAAGACTACCCAATGTGAATGTTTTTATAATGGTGGTCAATATGATTATTGTTGTTGTTGTTGCCATTCAACGGATAATAATAATACGGAAATGTCTCAATATCCAATATCCGCAACATCATCATCATCATCATCCGATCTTTTAATAAATGTCCCACATCCTCATCATCATCAACATCATCATCAACACCATCATCATCCACATCATCATCATCATCATGGACATCATTCATTATTACAATGTACAAAATCGTCGAAGAAAATTTTTCTTGAAAAACGGAAATTATGTCGAAATAGTAATAAACAGCAACAACAACAACAACATCATCATCATAAAATGAAAATCGGTAATAAAAAATTTTTTTTCTGAATCGAGAATCAAATATTTATTTATTTTTTTAATTTCAGCCGAAATTCATTCAAATTCCGATCAAATAGATGATTATACAAATCATGAAATGAATGGAAAACGAAATCTACAGAATTCCGGTAATACAAGCCCTACGGATGTTTATAGTAGTACAAGTACCGATGAAGGAATCTATCAAGAATTGGATGATGATACTGCAAGCAATGAGGAAACGATGATGATTGCAAGTGAAAGAAAATGTAAATATCAAACGATTAAACCGGAAAAGGTAACATCTTTATCATCATCATCATCATCGATTCCACCACCGCCGCCACCTCCACCACCACCAAATTTTATGCAATCATCATCATCATCACCATATCAGCAGCAATCATCATTTTCATTGCGAAAAGCAACAATAAATTCGACAAACAATACAGATTCTGAAAATTCTGACCAGAATAATTCAACATCATCATCATCATCAAATGTTCATCATCAAACACGTTATATTAAAAATACGAATGGTAAAAAAACCATCATGCAACAATTATTTATACCGCCACAATTTAGTTCACCACCAACAAATAATTCAAATATTAAACCATCCGAATATTTGAAACGTATTGTGGCAACAAAATCAATTTCAACATCATCATATGTTTCGAATACAAATCATATTCGTAATAGTAATAGTAATAATAAATATGAATACATTCATGATACTGGATTTTTGCAACGAAGTGCATCAGAAAATCATCTATTGGCCAATATTAATCGAAGTAAATATGATTTTCTACATCGTATGATGATGATGATTGTATGAATAATCGTATCATGATGATTGATAAATCAGAAACTGAATCCAATATTGATTTATATTCGGAAACAAACAATGATGGTGATGATGATGAAGATGATGATGATGATTATGAAGCAACGAATAATAAGGATGATGATGATGATGATGATACATTTTCCGTTAAAAGTAAATCATCAAAGAAAAATGCTGTTCCATCTAATCAGATTGGTGTAATGTCCAAGATTGCCTTTTCTAATGCTACATATTCGATAACGAATGATCAATTGAAAAACATTATGCTTAAATCAACAACAATGAATAGTAATAATAATAATAATAATAGTGCTCAACGGATTGATGATGATAATTTAGTCAATAATAAAAATGATTTGATTCAAGAATTAAAAGTGGCTAAAAATCTTGATGGTATTAAAAAAGTGAAAGCAAATCATCGAAATCTTAATGAAGTAATTTACTTTTCATGTATTCAACACAGTAGCTTTTTTTTCTAATTTCTTGTTTTTTTTCCACTCTTGACGAACAAAACAAAAAAAAATTAGGTCAAAAATAAAATCGCTCAATTGGCACAAAATTTTACGGTTGAAGAGTTTTTAAAAACAATACCAGAAAAAGATCCAAAAGGTAATGAAATCCCGCCATGGAAACGGCATATGTTGGCGAAAAAAGCAGCGGAAAAAGCCAAAAAAGAGGCCGAAGAAGCAATACGTAAAGAATTTGAGGACAGAAAATCTCGTTCAATACCAGAATGGAAAAGACAATTGTTGAAAAAAGAATGTAGTGTTGATTCATCAATGTATAATCAACAAAACAATGGCAATTATATCAGGTATATGGAATTTTTTCCCTTTATAATCTAATGATTTTGTTTTTATCAATCAATCCAACAGAATCAATTCAGTAATCCAGATGAATAATCCTTATCATCATCATCAATACAATGGATTAGCGAGACAACAACAACAACAACAACCACCACCAATAAAGGAATCAAATTCGAATGATAAATATTCTGGACAGAATATTGATAGTAAACAATCATCATCATCATCATCAAATAATAATGATGATAACATTAATAATAACAGCCATCAAAATATTTTCAATTTTCGTTTAAGGAAAACAAATTCAATTTATTGGTGAAAAATGGCCGAGAATTTTTGTTGATTTATTCGAAAGAAAAACATTCTCATTTTTCTGGAATTTAATAATATAATATAAAATTCGAGTAAAATTACAATGTGCTTTTGTCGTGTTTTATTCAATTTTAGCTTTTTTTCCCGACAATTTTTTTAATCAATAAATGATATTTTTAATTGTTAACAATATAAAATTACGTATTTCGAATTAATCAATCAATGGGTGATGAACAAGGAGAAAGAAAAACAGCAACAGATGTATATTTTATGTAAACTTTCATCAATAGTTTGTGTGTGTATTTGTAATTGAGCCATTGTGTGTGTGTGTGTGTAATAATTATTGAAAATTTCATCATCATCATCATCATCTTGATCAATTATCGACAAGTCAAAAAAAAAAAAGTAAATTAAATTACCGAAAAGTTATTCTTAGTATATCCATTCGTATTTCATTTGTATTGAATTATTTGTGTGGCTTAGGTGTGTGTGTGTGTGAATTCAAATGAATGTGAAAACAGATCAATAGATTGATAGATAGATAAATAGATGCGATTCAGTTGTTGTTTTTTTTCTCAAATTCAATAATAAAAGAGAAAAGAAAATCAACAATAAAATGACAACAGTTGACAACGTGATTACTACTAAATTGGAAATAATTTAATGGTGAAAATTTTTCAAAATTTCCATATATTCAAATAAGGATAATATATAGGCTCGTTAATGATGTGATGAAAACAGGTGGGTAGTTTTATATTGTAATTTGTTGTATTTTGTATTGTAAATAATCGATAATTTTGTTATTTGTATTTTTTTCTGCTAAATTACGAATTATATAATGAATTACTGAAGACAGACAGACATGAATTGATGTATATTCTATGCTCTCAAAATGTTTGGTTGTTGTGGTTTTATGTTTATATATTGATGATCTTGATGATGAATAGATAGATATATAGAAAAAAAAAGATTTATCAAAAATAACGTCTTTCAACTTCAAACTTTGATTTTTTGTCCATTTATTTGTGATTTTGGTGTGATTTTCAAAAATATCCTGGATGTTCCATCAGTGAATAATATTGGCCATTATAGACAACACCAATCTCTCTTAACATATCGCCTTTGATGATAGCTTTTATAAGCCAATTATAACAATCGATACTTTCTTTATCTCTTTCCAATTTATCAATATCGATTATTTTCGATTTTAATCGTTCCAATATAATGCCAATATCTTTAATGCTTAAATGTTTTTTATGATTAGCCGATAATTGATCAACAAGCATTAGATAACGTTCACAGAATTGTTCATCATCATCATCACGTTCGGTTGTTTCGGTTTCAGAATCATCACTAGAACTAACATTACCATCAACAATATGTCCATTGATTAGACCCATTAACGATATGTTTCGTTTGTTAGCTCCGTTGAATGATGTGCAATTTGAATCGATACTTTTCTCGATGTCCATAAAACGAACATGACCTTTTTTCGCTTTTGATTGAGCAACAATATTGGCATCAATTTGAGCTGATGATGAACCTTTTTCAAAAGGTGATGTCGCCTTATTGGTTGTAGTAACAGTTGGTGAAATCGTACGACTAAGATCAAGTATTGGTGATGTTCCTACGGATTTGCTAACTTTGATTGAGCCACCATCACGATGTAATGAAGAACAATGAAAATCACAATAAGAAGTGAGATCATGAGCTGAGCTAAAATCATCAATTGCTCGATCAATGAATGAAAAATCATCGGCAGATAATGTTTTATATGGCAGTGCTGATCGATAGGCTGCTAATGTATTTAGATTTCTTACGCTTCTCAAATATGATTCATATGATTTGGCACGACTAGAATTCGGTCGTGGAAATGTTGAGCTATACACTTTATCGCCAAATTGAGCGTATGAAGAAGGCTGTGAAGACAATTTCCAGGAAGGCTCTTCAAAATCACTTAGATATTTGAATTTATTATCATGTTCCCATTGTAATGTGACAGTGATGAATCCTTGATCATCTTTGATTGACCAAGCTGGTGATTTATTGGCTAATTTTAATGTATTGATAGTATCACAAACAATCTGTGGAATAGCGGATAATGCTGAAAAAAAACATTATCGTTAAATGGATTTCAAATCAGAACGAAAAAAAAACTCAAAAAATTACCAGATTTAAGTGCATCCATTCCTGGTGGTAGCCAATTTTCATCATCACGAAGTAATAGAAAAATTGTATCCTTTTCAGCTGATTGAAAATATGAATCATCTTCCACTTCTGTACCATCATTTTCAAATACAACACGTAGATAACGATAATTTTCATAGCCCAATTTTTCAGCTCCACGAATCTTGAATTCTTGAAGATTTGAGGCAGTTATTGATTTACGTTTCTGTCGATCTGATGACCAAACTTTATATGGTCTAGGTTGATTTGAATGCTAAGAGAATTAATATAAAAAATTAAATCAAACAAAATTGGAAAAGAAAAATGGAAAAAAATTACCGATCGAGACATGGCAATACAGTACAATATCGATTTTCATCAATCGATGTTGTTGTTGTTGTTGTTGTTGTTCATTGCATTTGATCACAAAATTCAACTTAGACATTGCTATATTGTAGAAACATTTTTGTTGTAAAATAATTTTCTTGAATTGATTGATTTGGCAGTAATTTTTTTTTCGCTATTAATTAATTTTATTATTATTATATGTATAAACGGAAGCCAAAAAACGAAAAAAAAGTGGCTATGTACACAACATTAATAACATGATGATGATGATGATGGTGATAAGCTTGAAGATTGAAGAAAAAAGCACTGGGGCGAAAATTGAATTAAAATTAAATTTTCAAATGATCGAAACAAACAAACAAACCAAAAAAAAAAAAAACAATGGAACAAAAATGTAGCAGAAAAAAAACAAAACAAAACAAAAACAAACAAACAAAAATTAGAATAACAAAATTGACAATCACAAAATCAAAAACAGGAAAAAAATTTTTATACAAAGACAAATGAATGATGATGATGATGATGGTGATGAGAATGTTGATGATGATGATGTTTATGTCTATCAATGATGATGATGATGATGATGATGATCATTGAAAGATGTTCATGTTTCGATTTTTTTTTTGCTCTGGTTTTATCTATCCATCCATTGGATCTATTGGTCTAATCGTAGTCGTTTGAATGACCTAAAATCCGTTGAATCAGTTTTTCTTCTTCTTCTTCTTTCTGTCATTTTTCTTTTGGCTTCATTTTGTACTATATGATGGAACAAGAACAATTCTATATAGTTCTTTTGGTACATTTAAAGTATTTGAAAACATAGAATTAGATGCATATAGCCATAAACAATCATGGACAATCATCATCATCAATATTATTGGCCTACTGTGATCTACCACTAAAAAAAAAAGAGAAAACAAAACAAAACAAAACAAAAAAAAAATAATCTGCAGTGTGATGCGTATGGGCAATAATTTTTTTGAAGAAGAATTTTGTTCAAAAAAAATAAAAATTTTGCGCAAGATTCGAATTGTTGCTGCCATATATACAACTTGGCCAACTTTTATTCTTATTCACTCTCATCTTCATTCGGCATTTTATTCTTCTTCTTCTTATTATTCTATACCATTGATAAATGTAAAATGGAAAAAAAGTAGGTCTTTACCGAATAAGAAAGAAAAAAATCCGACTTTTTTTTGCTGTCTGTCTGATTTACTTGATGTGTCAGTGTCGTTGATCTATTGATGAAGAAAAGGATCTACGATGCCAGAGCAATGTCCAGCAGCAGCAGCAGCAGCATAATGATATATTGATTGAATTTCATTTCATTTCATTTTTTTCGACATAAGAATATAAATTGAATCAATAATTTTTGCTTGATCGAATTCAATATATCCAATTTTTTTGATTTTTTTTCCTAATTTTCAAATGAAAAACTGACAATTGTTCATCATTGGATTATACCATGAAAGTAATGTTCAATGATACTTGCATCGTATATCGACAATGATAATTTTCTTAAGCTCGTGATCATTTTTTTTTGTTATTATTGTTTTCGATGATGATTGACAAGATACTTTTGGTGAATTTTATTTGTTTTATATAACATATATATAAAAAAGATCAAAGAATCGAACAATGGCAACCGAACAAGTAGTAAGTTTATGAATGTTATTAAATAAATTGATTAAAAATCAATCTGTTTTTTTGCTCTTGAAATCTAAAATAAAAAAGTTGACGGTTATCGAAAATTCGGCTAAAACAAATGTATTGGATCAACAAAATGGGAACAATAACAATAGTGGTTATGTGATGATACGAAAATATTTAATTAATTCGGCTGTGAATTTTTTGCAAAATTCTCGTCTCAAATTATCTACAAATGATGCAAAACGTACATTTTTACTTGACAAAGGTCTAACGGCTGATGAAATTGATTTGGCATTTGAATTGGCCATACGAAAACCAATGAACGATGAAACGATTCTAAAAGAATTGGACATAATTTCCAATAGTAACATGTCATTGATTGGTCGATCATTTTCTATGTTTTATCAATTTTTACTTTGGACCGGATTCATATATGGATCTTATACGATTTATTGGGAAAAAATACATCCATATCTGTTTGAAACAGCAAAAAATGATCGTCCTGAAGAGAAAATTTATGAAAAAATAGAAGAACTCAAAACACAAATCACCGAAATGAACACAAATCTATCAATAGTGCATGAATTCATTACAACATATTGTCGGCTAAGAGATGATTCGACAATGAAAATGAAAACTGAACTATCTTCAATCAAAGCTTTACTTGTTAATCGTCATCAATTTCCATCTGTACCCACAATACCTAAATGGCAACTTACGAATGGCAATAGCAATGGTGAATAATCGATAAAAAATAAACACCAGTGATAAATTCAAGTTAACTATTGTTTTTTTTAATTTTTATTCATATACAAAGTAATATATTCTATTTACATCTTATTTTTTACATTATCATGAATAAAATCTGGGTATAAAAAAAAATGAATGTTTCAATAATAAAAAGGATACGTGAATATATGTACAAAAAAAGAAGAAGAAATTTAGAGAGAAAAATATTGTAATTTAGCATTGTTGTTGTTGTTGTTGTTGTTGTTGTTGTTGTTGCATCAATTGTTTAATTTGTTGACATGTTTTTTTATATTTATTTTGCCCCACAAATGATTCCATAATCAATGTTCGGCTTAGTGCAATAAGCATGGCGATGAAAATGATTGCAATGACAGCGAATACAATAACTAGTATGGCATTTGCTTTCCATTGTTGACAATTATTGTGATTGCTTGATAATTTTGATTCTACTTTTATTTCAATGTAACGATCCGATCCCATTGATTCCGGTAATGATCCATCCAATGTAAATTGTGAAAATAATTGAATCATTCGTTTGGATATTTGTTTATCATTCATGTTCGATATGAATGGATTTTTAAATGCCAAACCAAATGCCAAAAGTACATCATCACCATGAATGGATGAATTAATAAATTCCGGTGCAATCGAAAATGATGGTTTATAATCGACTTTATATTTGAAGATATTATGTAATCTATAATTTTTACTGTAATAGATTCGTTGCAAAATGGCATCATATTCACGCATATGTGATTCGATCAATAATTCTGAACAGAATTGCATATAATTATCTCGATTGGTAATGATATCGGCTTTATAATTATCGAAATGAAAATCATCACCATAAAACATTTGTAAATCTTCACGTATTATTCGTTCAAATTCATTATCGCTGATATTATTACGAATAAGTTGCCCATAGAATGATTCATCCATAGCCAAATGTTTAAGTAGGCAAAGACTTCCTTCGTATTGATTAGTGCCCAACATGATGCTTTCAACATGTTTGGAAAATTTTCCCTTTCGAAGGGCATTCAATGGTTCATCAACGATAAAATCATTGTCGATAAATGGTTTCCAGCCATGTCCGCTTTTATCTAAAATTTGCTTAGCTGGCAACATTTTCAAACATTCGATATCATTACAGCCTTGACTTTCAATGACTTGTTGAATTTTATCATCATGTTTGTCATCGAAAACCCAATTGCCAACAGCAATGCCGCTCATAAGAATGGCTCGATTAAATAGCGTTACTGGATAATCAATAATATGTTGTGAGCTAAGTAAAATTGATATCGACATTGAACCGGAGAATCGACCGAATACAGTTACATCGTCAGGATTTCCACCAAAATTAGCAATATTTTGATTAATCCATTTAAGAGCTGCCAATTGATCCCAAAGACCGGCATTATTTTTGAGAAAACCAAAAATACCCACTCGATATTGTACAGTGACAACGATTACTTTTCCAATTGAAGCCAAATAAGTACCATCAAATTGTCGAGCATCGGCAAAATCATATCCTTCACCTGGTAGCCATACCATTACTGGTAATGGAGAATCTTGTTGTTCCACTGCTGGAACATAAATATTCAAATAAAGACAATCTTCTGAAATCTAGAAATAAAATGAGTTTAAAATTTGAATTCAATTCATCATTCTCAATACATACGTTATGAATTTGATCCAAATCAAGAAGTGGATTAATTGCCTTGGCCAAATGTTTCATTTGCATACATGTTGGTTTCAATTGTTTAGCCATTAGTAAACGTTCACTTGCATTGGCCAATAATTCTTTTGGTCTCTCAAATCGATTCACACCAATTGGTGGCTGTGCATATGGAACACCAAAAAATTGATATATTTCATCATTATTATTGATCAAAGTTTTTTGACCAATCAATCGGCCTGATGTAGTCGATACGATAGGTTCCATTTGAATGGAATAATCACCAGCAATGACCAATGATGGACATATTATAAAAATTATAATAAGATTTGATATTTTCATGTTTAAAGTATCGATAAAATTTTTTTTTCTTAAAAAAAATTGAATGAAAATTGTTTAATCAAGTTCAAAGTTATTCTCGTCAAAGTCGTTGTTGTTTCGAATGTTTGTTCGAAATGATTTGGTCCGAAATTCGCGGACCATCTTTCTTTATATACACACACAAACGATGATCAAGATGGGCATCAAACATCTATTTTTTTTTTTTTTGAAATATTTTATCTTTATCTTCTTGTTCTTTATTTTTCATTCATTAACTTGCCACTAAACGATGTAATATATTGATGAATGGCAAAAAAATGTGGCGCCCTTTTTCTATAAAGCCAATGAAGTAATGGTAGGAGTTAACTTTATTTTTCTCTTGTTTCTGGTAACGAATCAAAAATCACCGTCATCATCAGCAAACATTGATTTCACTTTTTTTTTTCTTATGTGCAAAAAGAAATGTGCACCATATATAAATTTTTTCTTTTACGTCAAACACACCATTTTTATTATTCAATTGTGGTATATAATAATAAATTATATGAAACTACTATATCTCATGATTTTCATGCACACACACACACCATCGGATGTCTTTTTTTTTTTTGTATTTCGTAAAAAAAAGAATGATAATCTTCTGAGGAACGGACAAGTTGATTGACCTGTTTTGGTTTTTCAATGATGACGGTGGTGGTGGTGGTGATGGTGGTGGTGGTGGTGGGGTTGAATTTTGCTTTCCATTTTTTTTTCTCTGTTTCACTTTCATCGTTTCATATCATCAGAACAGGATCTCATTGCCAAGGTGAATTCATATACGATGACGATGAAAATGAGCTGATTATTATTATTATTATTATATTTTTTTCGCTTCTTTTTCACATGAATTTCATAGGAAAGAAACCAACGAGAGAAACAAAAAAAAAATTCTTTCAACGAGAATGAAATATTGATTTGTTTTTCTCGTTTTTTTTTTTCTTTTACAATTGGTGGATCATTAATTTGATTGATCATCATTTGATTTATTTTGTCTTGTATGTTTGATTGGTTTTTTTTTCTTTCTGATGATCATTATCGAAATTCGTGATCAAATGAATGTTTTAATTTTTCGTCATGGCCATGATCTTGTTTGTGGAAAATAATCATAAACAACAAACAAACGTACAAATGAACAAGCGGATATGTTTGTAATGTCCGTTGAATTTTTTTGTACATTCATGGATAGATCGTATATTTTGGTGTGTTTGCACACACACACACATCGTCCACGTGTGATCCACATGTTTTTTTTTTTTTTTTAGTTGGTTGTTGTTAGACATGTTTTTGATGATTTTTTTGATTTTTTTTTTTGAATGTGACACTTGAACTTGAATGACCGAGATTATTTTTTATTTCTTTCTCATAGAAATAAAAAACATTGACATTTTTGACGATAATAATCTCATAGGTCATTGGATGAGAAAGACAACAACAACAACAACAACAATTTAGCCTAGCCATTCATTGATCTTTTCAATGCTGTTTTTTTTCTGAAAAAAACCAACATATCTTGCTAATTTATCAACCACGCATACAAACAAACATTATTATTTTTTTTTTTTTTTTTGGTCTCAGGTTATTGTTCGTTGAATTTTTTTTTTTGCATTTCGAAAATGAAATAAACAACATTCTTTGGAATTAAAAAAATGTTCAAATCCAGTTTTTTTTTATTAACACAAACGACCCTAGAGTTCAACGACGCCCCAATTATAAATGTTAAAAGTGAATTGATGAAAATGTTTATGATGATGATGATGATGATGAGGTTTATTATCAAAAAATTGTTGATGATTTTTTTCATTCGCTTCAGGTAAGTGAATGTACCAATGGACAATCAACTTTCATTTATCGTGAATTTTTTGTTTTTTTTTTTTTTTATTTTCTGGTATCTAAATCATCATTAATTGTTAATGTTTTATGAGTGTGTTTGTGTGTGTGTGTGTGTGTGCAAATGTTTGCTCTGCATGTATGTACATGATGTTTAAATGTGTCTTATCATTTCAATCAGAAAAAAAATTGCCTGTAATTCGAAATAATAACAATAATAATAATCGACAGTCATTTTATTTTTCTAACCATAATTATTCAAACGGAATAATTATCAACAACAACACCAGACATTCAGATATTCATGACCTTGTGCGCGTGTGTGAATGATGAACAATATTGTCATAATCATCAAATTCTTTGAAATGAAATGAATGAAAAATGATGGCCTATTTATTTCTGTTTTGAGATTCTTCATTTGAATTGAATAAATTAAAAAAAAATTCTTGTTGTTTTTTTTTTTTTTGGTTTTCATTTGCTGATGTAATCACCAAATTACCATGAACAAATCGAACGATAAAGAATAAAGAATGATGATTAATGATTGAATCTTTTTTCATTTAAATCATGATCCTTTTGAGGGTTCATTTTGGGATTAACATTTAAAATTTCTCTGACAGATTGGTTATTTATTTATTTATTTTATTTTTATTTTTTTTGGCTAAAATTCAATGTACTTTTTTCTGGTTTGTTGTTGGTTTCATTTATTCATTCATCCATTTGGTCATTTCATCACCATCATATTGCCTCAAGGAATATCTGATCTAAAATTTTTTCTTATTTATTTATTTACATCAATCGATAATCTGATCTGAAAATAACAACAAACACAACAACAACAACAAACGAATAAAGATGATGATGATGACCGCAGTGGTTGAAATCGTCCTGAAAAAAAAAAATAAAATTAAAGGGTGAATATCCGTCAATGTTGTTGAACGGTAAAGGTGGTTGGATGAGATTTTTTTTTTTTACTTTCATCGTCGTTGTTATTGTTGTTGTTGTTGTTGTTGATGTTTGATCATGAACTCGACATTGGCCAAGTACAAATGGAAATTTTTTATTTTTTTGTTTTTTTTCTATTAGCCACTTTCAATGTTGTTGTTTTTTAGTGTTTTTGGTTGATTCGAGAAAAAACATACGATCAACTCTGAACTTGATTGCATCATAATTGCAATGGTGATGGTAATTATCATCTACCCTCTATTTCTATCATGACCTCGAAGATATTTCACCATAGTTACGTCATACTATTTGTAGAAAACAACAACGATATCATGAATTTTTCAACCATTTTCACAAGTCTTTGATATCACAAGATAATCATGTGATGATGATTTCATTTCATTTTCGGTTATCGCTTTCATATCCGTTTTTTTTATTGCAAACTAACCTTATCCATACATGAATTGAACAGATAAAAAAAATTGAATTAAATTAAATTTTAAAATTCATGAAATTCATAAATGAATCACAAAAAAAAAATCAATATCGAGCAAAACAAAAAAAGAAAAATTTTCCGCTAAAAAATTGAATAAATTTTCTTGACGACCTTGTCATCTAATTTTGTAACTAAAATCAAGATAAAAAAAGATCTTTGATTTTTTTTCATTTCGAATGATGAAAACTAAACGATCAAGAAGAAGAAGAAGAAGAAGGAGAAACATTTCCACCACCATCCAAAAAATGACTTTGAAATGAAAATCATGATTATGTGTGATATCAAACGATGATTTCCAAAATATTTGTTGATGATGATGATTATCATCCCGTCAACCCGAAAAAAGAAAAAATTTTTTTCTTCTGATAATTGCCAATTATTAATTTCTTCTTGTTTATTTTCTTTGTTTCTTCATTCATTCATTGATTTATTCATTGATTAATGGAAAAAAACACCTCTCTCTCTCTCTCTCTCTCTCTCTCTTTTTACATTACATTTGATGAAATGATTCAATCTACATTCGATTTTAGATAAAGATCTTTATAAAAAAAAATTTGTGTCACATTTTGTTCTAACCTTCTTCTTGTTATTGTTATTATTTATGCATTCATATCAATTATATTTCATTTTTTGTTTCTATCGAAATCATCATCATCATCAACATCAATATTGATTACTTATCGAATGGTTCGATCTTGATCATTCCATTGATGCAAACATATCATATTTGATTTTTCTTTTTTTCTTCTTCCAAAAAGATGATCATGATGATTATGATTTTCAAGGAACAAAATAGCGCCATTTTTTTCTGATTATCAACACAATAGATTATGTTTCGGATGGGAGGGGGAAAAAATCCGGGTTAATGAACTAATTCGAATGGAAAAAAATGTTGATTTGATATTTTAATCAATCATTCGATCTTGATGATTTTGTTTGATCTATTCAGTTTTTTTTTATTGAAAAAAATCATAATCAGCAAAAAAAATATATTCCAAGTTGGCAACGAAAAATTTGTTTTTTTCCAAAATTGAATAAAAAATTGATTAAAATTTGTTTACCAGGCAAATTGACGTCGTTGTTGTTGTCGTTGTTGTTGTTGTTGTTGTGGTTTTGTAATTATCAAATAATCGATTATCGGGAAAAATAATTGTACCAGTTTTTTTTTATTTTTCCATGAAAAATCATTCTAATGAATGAGAAAAAAAACAACAAATTGAAATGATCGGGTTCAGATAAATGATTTTTCTGGGTGAATCTGTGTGTGTTTTTTTTTTTTTGCTCATTAAGAAAATAATGTCAATGTCATAAACAACCAAAATTTTCGGCATAAATGTCTATGTGCATATTTTCCTGACCTTGAATGTCAATAATCATCAATACATTTATTTAGTTTAGTTTATAATAACCGTCATCATCACCGATTGCGGATTATAAATTATCAAACACACCAGAAACTAATCAAATGAAAATTATCGGAAAATAATGATAAAATTGGTTGGATAAAATTGCAATGATCAACATCACAAGATCAATTTTTTTTTATTCAATTTGGTTAATATTTTAAAAAAAAAAAAAATATTGCTAAAAACTGAAACTTTGAAAATGGAAAAAATTGTTTGAAAAATTGTTCATTCTATAAATCGACGACATTCACCGATAGATGGCATTGGTATTTGTTGTGTTGTAATTTTTTTAAAAATTTCTACAGCCCATTCCTAATAGATCTTTGATTAGGAAACTTTTCTTAGCTTTTATGATCGATTTTTGCTTTGAAAAATATGCCACACTATTATTGATGTCATTTTTGTATTTCTTTTTAATCATTGTATTCGTTCGTTGTTCCAGATTCCAATTATTGTTGTCTATTTTTGACGGTTGTTCCGATTGTTGATGACCATTATCATCATCGCTATGATGATGATGATGATGACAAGAATTCATATATAACCAATCGATCCATTGATTTTGCACATACGATTGATTGATTTGATTAGCATTTCGGAGTATACGATTGATTGATGAAATACTTGGCAGATTATCTTGTGAACAAATTCGGTCATGACGAAGTTTTTCACGTATCTCCCATGCATACAATGAATTATTGGCCAATTTGTATTCATAGATTTTTTTCGTTACCAATGGTGTTGATACTCGTGGTTTGCTCCCTCCTATTCATAAAATTAATTATCATATTGATGATAATTATAATTCATAATCAAATCAAAAGAAGAAAAAAAAATCAATGTACCTATTGTGCCTGGCAATATCGAACCAGTCTTGTGAAATTTGGCCAATATCTTGCTGACACAACCATGTGAGACTAATAATCGTCGAGATATATCGCAAGGTCGATATCCTTTCAATGACATGGCCAATATCTGTAATCGTGAATCGAATGGCAATGGTTTACCATTACTGAATGATCCACCCAATTGATTAGTACTGATATTGTTCATATCAACAGCAGCAGTATTTGAAATTTTGATCCATTGACACCAAAGATTACATGAAGCAGCAGAACATTCATGATCAATAATAGAATGTTGATGTTGTGGATGTTGATGATCACACGATTCGATTGACTGCATGATGATGACTGTTGACCAATTCTGTATGGTATCCAAGTATTTAAATACTTGGAACCGTGAGAATAGAACAGGTGACATGATGATGATGTTTCGTTGATTATTAGGCCATGGTTTATTACATTCTTTACTGAAAAACAGTCATTTCAATTTGGTATTATGGCACACACACACACACACACACACACACACACACACACACACACACACACACACACACACACACACACACACACACACACACACACACACACACACACACACACACACACACATGTACCTAATAAAACAGATTTATAGTCCGATACATTGATCATTTGGTTCAATAAATTCTCCGTATACACAAACACAAACACACACACATGCATATACAGTAACAAAACATAATTCAATTGTGTAATATTCTTGACCAGAATTGAAATTTACACAATCGTTATATTCGATATTCGATATGTGCATGATAATAATCACAAAACAAATCAAGATGGCAATTTAATTTATCGGATACTTACGAACATGGTGATAAATATATCCGATTATTTTTGTGTAAGTAAAAATAAATAGGATAAAAAAAATCTCCATACAATATATTTCAATGTGAATGTATTTCTGTGTGTGTGTGTGTGTGTTTCAGGTGGTTTTTTTCCGTTGGTTTTTCAATATTCAAGAATCAATTTCCGATCATATGGTTTTTCCGATATATTCCAATATATTCAAAAAAGAATGATTGGCCATAATAATACCAAAAAGTGAATCCTATTATTATTATTATTATTGTTCCGTTCAGAAAAAAACAAACAAACAAATATCAATCAGTGATAATAAAGAAAAATTGACAATTACAATTCCATTTTTGAAATATTGAAAATTTATTTGAAAAAAAAAATTTTGTCAAATTGTCAAAAAAAAAAAAAAAAAAAAATTGAAATACTAGCTCTTTTCTCAGCCAACAGATGGCAGCACAAATTGAAATCAAATACTGGTAATTTTTTAAAAATTTTATTAATTATTAATTTTATTATAAATGATGATAAATGATTAAAAACTGGAAAATTATAAATTCAATGATGACTCGGTTTTTTTATTTCGAGTTCATTGAAAATAATAAACTATTAAGATAAAAAAAATAATGGTTCAACCACGAATGAATGAGAGTGAATGGCATTTTTGTTTTCCTGCAATTATAGAATATATATATTTTGATAGAAATGCAAATTGATGAAGAAAAACAACCAACAATAGTAGTAGGAAATTCCTATTTACAACAAAAAAAACGGAATTCAAATTATAACTAAAAAAAAAAAAATACACAGTTTTAGTAATATTGGTAGTAGTTAAAAAATAAAACAACCAAACGAGCGAGCTATGTGAAAATTTAATATGAAAAAAAATTATTGAGGTGGTGAATGGGTGTGTGTGTGTAGGTGTGTGTGGGTGTGGGTGTGAAGGGTATATGCCAGATTCATATTCATGTAGTGTTGCAAAAAAAACAGTGAAGAATGTGATCAACAATGTTGAAATGGTGAAACAAAAAAAAAGTGGCCCCATTGAAACATACACACAAATAAATCATCACAAATTGATTAAAAAAAAAAGAGAAAGTGAAAAAAAAATTACACAAATATCATCTACATCTTTATAATGATTAGGAAACGAATAAAAAAAAACAACAAATTATTCTTACAATTGTAAAAGAAATGATGATTTGATCAATCAATCGATTGATTGAAATTTTTTTTTTGTTTTTGTAAGTGTGTAGGAGTTTTGTGCTACAAATGATTTTCCCGAATAATAAAACCAAATTATGATCGGATGAAAAGCCAAATAGAAAATATGAATGAATGAATGAATGAAAAGCAAAAATAAAAATGGTGGGCTGATTTAATTTGACATCCAAGAAAAGGCAGCGATTAAAATAGATTAATATGATGATGATGATGATGATCAAATGATGATGGATAGAACGATGATTGAAATTGTATGAAACATTCTTTCATTTTTTTTTTTTTTGTTATTTGTTTCTTGTGTGTGTGTGTGTGTGTATGTGCGTATGCAAAAATTGATATTGGAAAAACAAAATGAATGGAATAAGATAATTGATCGTTTCGTATAAAAGTAATTTGGTTATTAAGCCTAGGGAATAATAAAAAGAAAAATCGAATGATTTGTTTATGGATAATGAAAATCACCACATCATCATCATCATCATCATCAAACAAATAAATATCTTCGTTGATTGAAAAAAAGGGGTCGTCATATGTTGAAAATTGTGAAAAAAATCTAAGTTTCGATAATTAAATGTCGATAATCGATATGTGTGTTTTGTTGGGTGATGGACAACAAAAATTTAAAATTATCCACGAACAAGAATATTTTTACTGCCAACAACATCGGCCAATTGTCTTGAATGGAATACGACGACAATGGTTCGTGATCCAGGACGATCCGGTACTAATCGTATCGTATTCGTAATCGTTTCACCTGGCATTATATTTCTAGAATTGATTCTCATCTGTCTATTTAATCCAGGTCCTTCCACAGAGAACCAACAATCTTCAAGCACTCGACGTATTGGATTAGTTAAACGAATTTCTAATGTAAATTCACGTCCAACTTCAATAAATCCTCGAGTATATAATTCCATATGAGGTTTTTCAATGGAGAAATCATCTTCTTCGGACCATGTTTGTTGTGTTTCTTTCACTGTAGCGACAGCATAAACTTTTATCAATGAATAATCAACAAGATTATCTAGATATTCTTCGGGATTCACGCGAACTCTTAATACTTCCTCTGTAAAATATTTTGTTTGAATAAATGAAATTGAAATTGAAATGAATGATGATTAAACATTTATAAGAAAAAAATTACTTTGATATGGTTTTAAGCGGACAATGTGTCGTTCATTTTTAATCTTTTTAGCCAATATGCCGTTCGGGAAAAAGCTATTAGCGTTCAATGATAATGTGATCGTTCGTTGACTTCCAACACGATTGGCCATTTCAACTTGTATGTAGAAAGGATTGCCAACGACCACTTTTTCGATGTCTAACAAATCAAATTCGACCTCTTCTTTACCGGGTGCAGGGATTTCAAATAGAAAAGACAAGCCAGCACCTAGAAAACAATGATTATGAAATAGAATGAAATGAAATGAAAATAAAAATCAGTATCAGTATAATTAATTCAGTCAAATGGAAAGAAAAATTCAATCAAGCAATCAACCAATCATACCTCTAGCCGCATTCAATACGGCCATACGTTCTTCTTCTGTGCCTTCTTTGAATTTATAAATATCGGTAATGTCTTCAGCATCGTTTATGCCATTATATTCGGCTTCCACACCTGCCCTTTTAGTGAATAATTTTCGGCCAACACTGAAATCATCATATATTAATGATAATGATAATGATAATGATGGTGAATAAATAATCAGTTAATTATTGCAAGAAAAAAAAAGAAAGAAAGAAAAAGAAAACTTACTGATATCGGTTTGTTTTGATTTTTTTCCATCCAAGTTCACTTGATTCATCCAATTGCCAATGTACTACATCGGAATTGACTTCGGCAAAAACAAATGCCACATCATATGGTAAGCCAACTTCACCTCGTTTTATTGCTTCCACAGATGCTGGTCCCATTTGATAAAGGCCACTAGCATCACTGGATTCTTGTGGTGTTGCATCAATCACCTGCCAACCACCATATCCAGGTGGTAAATCAGGTCTACAAAACACATATAAATTTCAATCGATTAATCAATCAATAATGGATGATTAAAAAAAAACACTAATAATCACACCTTGACATCCATACATCTGTCCATACATGAAAATTCCAAATTGAATCTGAATTAACATCAGAAATAGGTTCACCGGTTTTACTGAAAAATTTGTCCACAGTTAAACTATCATCAGTATCATGAGCTGAAACAAAATTAGTGATTGTTCGTGCAGGTATGCCCAATGTACGAGACATTGTTGTTGTTGAACCAGCAAACACCCAACATTGACCGAATTTAATTGGTTCACCATTTGAACGAAGATATTGTTCAAAAATTGGCGCACTACCAGTCCATTGCCATGGTGCATTACCATCATGATAATTTCCAGACCAATTGCCAACTAATAGGCCATTATCATCGTGACTATTGACTAGTGCAGCCACGGCACGTACAACTTTAGCCGGATTGGCACGAGCTGAATAATCGAGACGAGATTTATCCAACAAAAATACAGCAGCAGGAAGCACAGATTCTTCGAACTATAATTGTATGGAAATATAAAACAAGTTGTGAGTATTTTTTTTATTTATTCATCTCGATATTGGATTCATTCTCATTTACCTGACCATAAACCCATTGTCGTCCTTTTGGTTTTGAATGTGAACCAATGTAAATCTTACCGATATCATTGAGTACATATTCTTGACGACGAACTTCATCAGATAAATATACAGTGTCATCTAAAATATAATGAGAAAAATAATTAACAAAACTGTTGAACATCTGTTTTTTTTCGCACCAACCTCTATTCCATGGATTGAATAACAAAAATATTTTATTATGAACTTCAAATGTTTTAATATTTCTTGAACCTTGTGGTTTTGTTGAAATACGTAAACGCCAAATACCTACAGCTGTATTGGCCGGTATTCGTACTTGTAATGTAAGACGATTGCCATCAATATTTCTAATTCGTGCATCCCATTTTTTTGGATCTTTAGTAAAATCTCTATTCTGTGTGATTGGAAGATATACTAATGTACCTTTGCCAACCTGTGGATTATTACCTGTTTGGTTTTACCCAGAGAAAAAAAAACATGTATGTAAATAAATTATTAAAAACAAACAAACAAACAAACAAAATGGAAAATAAGAAAAACAAAAATGATAAATTGACATTAAATAAGCAAGATTACATTTATTCAATATTTTTTTTCGTTTTTTTTTTTGGTTTGTTTGTTCATTTACACGATTATATAATTTATGAATTTTTTTGAAAAAAAATGATTGCAAAGACGTGAAATGTTTATTTGTTTGTTTGTTTGTTTGTAATGTTGCAATCAAGCCTAAAAGTGCCAAATTTTTTTTTTCTCTCTTTTTGCTTTTTTTACTTTTATTAATACGATTATTGATTGATTGGCATTGGATAATTGGATCCATTGTCATGGGGATATAAGAGAGAGAGAGAGAGAGAGAGAGAGAGATTGATTAATTAAAATTGAATTTGAGGATAATTCATTAAATATGTCTATGCCGTATAGATTAATGAATCGTTTATTTTTCATCGAAAAAAAAACCACCACTATTATCACTGTCAACGCCCTATAAATATTCGAAAAAAAAAAAAAAAATAAAAATTCTAATCTCCATAGAGACAAAAAAAAATTGGCCAAAAGATCAAACATTTTTTTTGATTGATCAAAAAATAATGATACAGGATTTTGACGTGATTAATTTATCGATAAATTTATTATTTTTTCATCATCAAAAGGTATTTGGGCATTGGTTGCAGGATTTTTTTTTCTTTTTCTTCTTTTTGTTTGCTACTGTATGTGTTTGATGTCCATTGCAAGATCATTGATCGATGAATTTCGAAAAAAAATGAATGAATGAATGCTTGAGTTGATTTTTTTTTCTCTCTCTCTCTCTTCACGTTAATGATGATGATCATTATATCCAAATGAATGAATGAAAAGTTTCTCTCTCTATGTGTGTGTGTGTGACAATATTTAATTGATCAATCCCAAACACCTAACATTTTGGCCCATGTAAATGTATAGATATGTGTGTGTGTGTGATGATTATTGCTTTCAAGGATAATGATGATGATGGCAAAGAATCTAAATTATTATTAATGATAAATAAATTGAAAAAAAACAAATCTTCATTTTCATCTTTTTATTTACCACCATCGCCACCATCACACACACACACACACACAAATTTTATATGAAAATTTAAAAAAAAGGAATCTACGAATATTATGAATGATTATGATCATCATCATCAAATTAAAATCAAATTAAAAAATATTTTCATCATCCTCATCATCTATTCTTTTTTTTCACTCTCAATCTCGTTAAGACAATGCCATTGTCTCCAGTATGTGTGTGTGTTTTTTCTCTCTCACCATACTATATCGTGCTGAAGCGTGAACATCACACCACCATAATGACAATGATCAGATCGGCCAATGTCGAAGACCTATTGGACAGGATTTTTTTTTATTGATGAATACCGAAATTAAAGCAACAACAACAAAAAAAAAGAAATTCAAATTGCCCATCATCATCAAAAAATCAAGCAGAGAAAACAAAAATCATTGACATTGAAAGTTTCGAATTACCGGATTTCAAAAAAAAAATGACCTATGTTGTTAATACATGTAATGAATGGACAGTCCGATGAACAGAAAAAAAACTAGTGACCACCACCATTTTGTGTGTGTACGTAAACTCGTTCAAAGATTGATCGACAAGATTTGTTTTTTTTTCAAGAAAAAAACCCCAATACATATATATAGTGTGAGTGGGAGAGACAAGACCGTCCATTCAACCGAAAATAAATGAAAAAAAAATGGCAAAATTCAACTTACCGAATAAAAATTCCAGCCTTATCTTATTATTATCTTGATCATAAACATTTCGTAGCTGTATGGCCAAATAAAACGGATCACCACGTCTTATAACTAATGCTGGATTCTTTTTCTCCAACAATTCATATTTATATGTTCGATGTTCTTTAGCATTGTCACGTTGAAATAATTCTACACCGATCACATCGTTTGGCAGTGGACCTTTTATTTTTTTACAATTATAATAATAAACACAATCATTAGTGATTAATAATAATAATAATAATAACGAGAATAATAAATGAATGGAAAAATTCATTATTATGGAATCGTTGTTGTCGTTGTTTAGTGGTACAATTCTGTTGAGTTGAATAGTTTTTTTTTTTTTTGGATTCTTCCAAAAACATTAACATAACATAAACATCTGAATGGTGATTTGATCACCATTTCATAATGTTATTCTTATTTTTATATACATCCAATTGATAATTGATATGCTCAAAGAAAAAAAAAATTTACCTGTTTTTTTTAATAATCTATCTCTCTAAAGAGAGATAAACATTTTGACAATGAAATAGAATAATAATGAATGATAAACAAAATGGCTTGCGGTCTTATTTATTATTATATTGTGGTTCATTAATTTTATTCAAGGATTCACACGAAATGTTTGAAGATGTTGGAAAAAAACAACAATTTATTGAAAACAACAAATGAACAACAGTCACACACATACAAACAAACAAATAATGACCCCTACTACACAGAATTTTTGTTTTTGTTTTGCAAAAATAAATACATTTTGAATGAGTGAGGTTAAAACGAACAAACAAACAAACAAACAAAAAACAAAATTGAGGAAAACGAAGCGAGAAAAAAAAAACATTCAAATTCAAAACAAATTTTGTGCACTCAAAAGATCTAGGTCTTTGGCTTGTTTTTTTTCACTAAAAAAAAAAATGCATCCGGTTTATATTGACATTGATCAGATCAAAACAGATGATGATCAGCTTAATGAGCAGCATCATTAATAATGGGCAAAAAAAAATTAACCTAGAAAAAAAATTTTATTTTTTTCCCTCTCAACGTTTAACAAGTTGTTTTTTTTCAAAGTTTATATAAATTTTTATATAAATTGATGAACCGATTGATTAACCAAAAAATGAATGATTTTTTTTTTTTATCCACAAACATGGAATTAAGCATCAACTACTTTGAGCATCATTAGCTAATTGTGAATACAGACGAATATGAAATGAAATGAAATGAAAAAATTTTTTTTTTGTGCAAATGGAAATGATGTAACTATGTTATTATATCATCATATAATACTTGATGGTTAATATTGTTAAAATGAAATAAAAAATTTAACTTTATGTCTATTGTTTTTATTCGGAAAAAAAAACTTTACAAATACGAAAATGATGATGATGATGATGATGATGATGTTGAAAAAGGCTTTTTTTCGTTTCATTCAGTCCAGTTAGTCAAAATTTGTTTTAGGACTCAATTTTTTTTTTTGTTTCAGCATCCATCATCATCAGTTACAATAATCACATTAAATACATATATATACAAAAAGGACACTTGTTGCTTTTATCTATTCTATCTGTCTCATTTATAATTTCACATCACTCACTTACTATCGTTCCATAATTCCGTTCGTTGTTTGTTAACGTTAATGTTTTGCAGCAATGAATATCCCGTTTTCATATTTTCTGTGCTTGTGTGTGTGTGTGTGTGTGTGTGGGAAAATTATGTCACCAAAACACATATGTGCTTTTTGACATCCAAGAATGGCTTTTTTCCCAAATTTGTCGCAACAACTATTACAATCATCATCATTATACAAATATGTAATGGTAAGCAGGACACAAAAAAAACAAAAATCCAAAAAAAAAGTGAAAAAAAACCAACGCATATAATATAAGTGAATAAGTGGTCGTTTCAGTTTTTTTTCCATTTTGTCATAATGGAAAAAAATGAAAATAAAACAAAAACATTTTTAGCATCATTTTTAGCCAATGATGATGATATGATATGATATGATGTTATCATTCAATTTTCATCAATAATGCCATTCAATTGTACATTTTGTCCCGTTTCTGGATCGTTGTAGTTTTGTTCGTGTTTTTTTTATTGCTGCCACATTCAACTAACTAACTGACAGAAAAACAAAACAAAACAATACGAAACAAACAAATATGGACAGCGACAACGGTAAAATAAAACAAATCAAATGATAATAATAAAAAACAAAAAACAAAAAGGTCAACCTGTTGATTTCACTGTTGTTTTTTTTCGTTTGTTGTTGTTGTTGTTGTCCCCTTTTCCCAATCCATCGCGGATCGGTTCCAATTTTTCATTTATTACATAACATCAACAAATAGCGCTGATTGTGTCCGTGTAGTTTTTTGTTGTTGTCGATTGAAACAATCAACAATTTAGGCCTAAAAAAAAACACACACACACACACACACTTAACTGGACTGATGGCTTTTTGTTTTGTTTTTTTTACCGTTGTCAAGTTAACAAGAAATAATTTTCAGGAAAATTTCCCATCCGTTTTAACACATGGTTAAAAAAAAATAAATCAGCAACAAATAGCATCGAATTCTTTTTTCTTTCATTTCCATCATTTGTTTCCGCTTGTTGGGAAAAAAATTGAAGAAAAACATTTTTTTTTCTGTGTGTTAACAAGGAACAACAAAAAAAAAATAAAAGAAAATACTAATAACAAATCTAACCCTGAGTGAGTGAATAATTGAATGAATGTGTAATGTGAGATTGTAAGTGATCATCATCATCATCAAAAAAAAAAAAAAAATATTTATTATGCAATGTACATGTGTTGTATCATATTTGATCAACAACATCGAACCACAAATGTGAATGATGAATGGAATTGAATCAATAAATAAGATGGCGAGAACAAAAATTGATTCCAAACATATAGCAACAGAAACAACAACAACAACAGAAAAATAAACATATGAAACATGATCATCATCATCATCGTCACCTTCAAAAGAGCTACTATTATATAGTCAAGGAAAATGATGATGAATAAATAAAATAAAATGAAAATTGTAAATTGAAATACATATTTCATCATCAAATCATTTTATAACACACAGATGTCTCCTGTTGTTGTTGTTGTTGTTGTTGTTGTTTTTTTTTTTCTTCTTAAAATAATCATCATCATCATCATCATGTATATTCAAAAAAAAAAACGGTATTTGTTGCATACAAAAAACAACAACAACAATAACCAAACTTTAATTTGAAATCCAAAAAAAAAAAACAATCGAAATTGACATGTATCTGTATGTATATATAACATACAAACGCCCATCCATCCATCATCATTCAATTTAACATATTGACATCATCAAATAGACAATTTCACACACACACACACACACACACACACACACACACGCAAACAATGAGCTTAATTCAATCAATCAAATTGGAAAGGGGAAAAAAATTTTGAAATTTAAAAAAAAAAACATTCAAATGGATCAAGGTCAAGAAACACACACACACACACACACCTATGTGTATTCTTCTTTTTCAAATTATTTTACATGATGATGATGATGATGTTTTTTTTGTTTCTTGTTTCCACTTAAATATCAATAAATATTCAATGACAACAACAAGTGATAATGATATAAATAACAAAAAGAGAATCAAAAAAAAAAAAAAATACCTGTAGATCCTTGTAGAAACTCTTTATGAAACAATGGATAATGTGGATAACGGTATGGCACACGTAATGATTGACTCGGATATGGAATTATTGACAATATTATCAATATGATTAACATATGAAATATGGTTTTATTGTTGATTTTTATTTCAAATGATGGCGGTGACCATGTTGTTGTCGATATTAACACAGATTTGTTATTATTATTATTATTATTACTATTATTACTATTATTATTGATCAATGATTGATGGCAACAACAAATGTCATCATCGTCATCAACAACAATTTGTTTATCGGCAAAATTAATATTTTCATTTGTCAATGTTTTCGTAACAAATTTTTTCAACATTAAATATTTATCATTTGTATGTTGTCGTTGTTGTTGTTGTCCAATGAATTGTTTCGGGCAATATAAAATCATCTTTTGATGAATATTATTATGGCTGACTAGACGATTACGATAACCACAACCACAACGACATGTTGTTTGTTGGCGTTCCGGTTTAATGTTTTCCGAAAACATTGACGATGGACTAATTTTTTGTTGTTTTTGTTGTTGTTGTTGATGATGATGATGATGATGATGATTATGATTTATATGACAATTGACGATTGATGATGGTGATGATGATGATGATGATGTATGTGACAAGATGTTATCTAATCCATTATCACCATCATCTTCCTCATCATCATTTTGGCATTTATTTCTATTAGATTTAGCTAAATATTGTTGTATGTACGATGAATCTTTATTGTCATAATGATGATGATGATGATGATGATGATGATGGTAATGTTTTTGGTGTTGATCATGATGATCATGAAGATGAAGATGATGATGGCCATCAACATTATTTTCATCGAACCTGGCCATAATTTTCATGATTGGAATTTCGTTTTCGTAATTGGATTTTATCAGTTTAACTTTTTATTCTTCTTTTCTTGAACAAACACGTTTGTCTTGTCTATGTGTGTGTGTGTTTGGAATTTGATTTTTGTTTTCCTTTGTATGCCAAACACGCTTCGTTATTGTCGTTCGTTCAATTTGTTTTGTTTGTTGTCCGGTTAATTTCAAAAATATGTCTTTCACTTTCACGTTTGTTCCTTGTTGTTTTATTCTATTTTTTTCGCCAATACCAATCAATTTTTCATGGGTTCAGTCAGTCAAAAGATGAATGTGAAATGGTGAAAAAAAACGGTTTTTTGTGTTTTATTTGTCTGAAGAAGATAATAATGATAAAGTGGCAGTTTGACGATTATTAACCAATCGATTTTTTTGAAAAGATTTTTTTTTTTGGTTAGAGTTTGTTATTTGTTGTCCATTGGAGACAACAAACAACAACAGGTGGTAAAGTTTTTTTTGTTGTTGTTGTTGTTGTTGAAAAATTAATTCGATCAAAAATATGAATGATTCAATTCATTAACACTAAATGGCGTGACAAGTTTCTTCTTCATTCATTCATCATTTTTTCGATTCAAATCAATTGATGATCAACAATGTGATAATCATTTATGCAGAAAAGAATGTAACACACATTTGACACACACAGACAATTATATGGTGAACAAAAAAATTCTAATGATGATAATGACAAAAAAACTACACACACACATTAATAAAAGTGCAACTTCTTCAAAGATCAATGGCAGTTTTTTTTTGTTGGTCAATGTTGTTGTTGTTGTTGTTGTTGTTGTTACACATTAATCATTGTCGAACAACAACAACATTAACAAGTAATGGTCGATTACATTATTCGAATTACAGGTAATTTAATCGGTCTTTTTTTTTGAATGACAATTTTCTCTTTGGTTGAATGATGCAAGATAATCACACGCATACATCTACACAGACAAACACAGTGTTATCGATGTCGATAATGATCGCTTTTATTTAATGAAAAAAAAAACTTTTTCTTCCGTTTTTTTTCATTTCACAATGTTTTATATTAAATGCACACACACACACACACCCACAAACATAATAGTTTTGTTTCCGATCCATATATACCATACTATGTTGAGATCAAAAAAATGATGATGATGATGGACAGAAAATGAAAGCTTTTTCATCGTCGTCGTTGTTGTTTTTAAAAGGCAGTTATAGAACAATATATATGGATGATCACAGTTGTTTTTTTTTCTTTGAATATAATTGATCTATAATGACCAACAATGGGAAAAACAGATGACAAAAAAAAATTTCCATTAATTATTAAAATTTTGGAAATTTTTTTGCAAAATTTTGGTGGTCAGCGGTTGAATATTTTTATGCGAAATAATGGACAAATAAAAATGAAAATTAATTTTGCTGTAAATGGAAAATTCCGTATTGTGTGTGTGTGTGCGTTTTGTTGTTGTTGTTGCTGTTGTTGTGGTCAATATCACAAGTTTAACATGTTTTTTTTTTGGCAGCCGTTTTTTCCTCGTGAAATTACAATCCTACAAAGTTATCATTATTATTATCATCAGCATCGTGGTCATTAAAATTTTCGAGATATCGCAGCGTAATTAGAACGACAACATCATAATCATGATATTAATTAATTATCAATAAATTTTTATGGTCATTGCTTGCTGATTGATTGCGGATTGTTTGTTTGATCAAAAAAATTATCACCATTTGATGAGATGAACATTTTCTTGTATTCATTTCAAGAAATAAACGATGAGATTTTAGTTGTTGAAAAGATGAGAACGAGCGATAGAATGAATGTATTGGTTGGCTGATGATTTTGTTTAAATTTGAATTCAAAAAAAAAAAAAAAAATATTAATCAAATCAAATCAATTGAAATTGATGCTTCGATGTTTGATTCTTTTTTTTTTTTTTTTCATTATAAAATAATAATGAATTCATTCAATTTATTTAAATGCTTTTTTTACGAATAATTTTGGATGCGTTTGCGTGTGCGTATGCGTATGTGTGTGTGTGTGTGTGTGTGTGTGTGGATACCACCACCACCACAAACACCATCCTCATCCTCATCAATTATCATATAACATCATCATGATGACCAGTACTAAAGATTCATTCTATATTCTTTCTACACCAAAAAGTCTAAATGCAATGATGATGATGATCAACAAGTCACTGAGAGATGTTTGATGGTTGAATACACTGACATTTACACACACACACACACATACATGCATACAAACTATGGATATGTGGTTGTTGTATCAGTCGTTAACAAGTCGTTTTTTTTCTGCCGAATCCAAATTCAATCAAATACACTTGAAATAAAAAAAAAGAATAAGAAAGAACAACAACAACAACAACAACGAAAAAAATAACGAATAAGATGTTTGGCAGTTTGAAGCAGGAAAGGAAAAATTACGAAAATAAAAACCGTCACCTTATTTGATTCAATAAAGTAAAAGAAATGATAATGATGATGATGATGATGATGATTTTCATCGATTTTCTCTTCACATAGAGAATAACATTCAATGGAGAGAGCCAAAAAAAAATAAAAAATGAGAGAGAGAGAGAGAGAGAGAGAGAGAGGTTTATATGAAAAATGGTAATATTTTAAAAAAAAGAGTATAAATGCATCTTCAGGTGTGTGTGATGTAGAAATTTTTTATTTGATCGAATGAATGAAAAAAGAAAAAAAAAGAGACAAACATCCAATGTATTGCTGCTTGTTGTTGTTGTTGAAACATTCATGGTTCATTTACATTCATTGTATATACAGTGAATCTTGAATTTTGAAACATTCATTTGTATTTTTAGAGAATAAATGAATGAATGAATAAGCAACACAAACCTTCTACACATCGACCCTCTCTGAATATTTTTTTTTTTTTTTTGACAAAAAATTATCATCGTCATCCTCATCATTATCAATATCCGATCGGAAAATCTAAACGAAAACAAACAAACAAACAATTTTTGGATCAACTTTAGTTAGTCCGTTTTTTTTCAATGTTTCTTATCAACAAATCTAGTGTATCATCAAAAATCAGGATCAAGATTTTTAAAAAAAAAAATGACAAACAAAAAGTAAATCATTTTATCCTCCTTAGTGATTTTACCTTGCTTTTTTGGAATCACATAGGTACACAACACACACACACATCACAAGACAGTAACACCTTTCAATGGTAATGATTGATGTTTGTGTTGTGTGTGTGTGTGTTGTGTGTAATGAAATCATTTCAGGATGGACAACACACACACAAATATTTTTTTTTGATAAAAAGAGATTACGAATTTGATTGAAAAAGAAAAGAAATAGAGAAAAAAAATGGCCCACTCTTTCACTCTCATTTGGTTGTTGTTGTTGTTTTTTATTGGTCCACTTTTTTTTATTTAATATTTATCTACTAATATCATCATCAACAACAACAACAATCAAAATGTCCGATAGATCGATATATGATATATCCGGGGTACAGGCATCAATTATAATTGTTGTTTGTTTGGTTGATCAATAGATCACAATAAACGTTATTGATTTTTTCCTGTATTGAAAATTTTATGTTTCGTTTCTTTTTTTTTTTTTTTTTGCTTTCAAATTACAAAAACAAAATGATAAATTTATCAATCAAATGAAATGAAATGGAAAAAAAATCTTATTATCAGCTAGAGCAAGAGTGAGACAACTCTGCTACATTGAAATTAATGATGATCAATTTGATAAACGAATGATGATGATGATGATGATGAAAAATGTCATCTTCAAAAGAAGAAAAAAAAATCACTTGATCCCAATGATCGAATTCCTCATATATTGAATGCTGTCAACCATTAAACATTGCCATCATCATCATCAACGTAATTCTAAAAAAAAATAAAAAAAAAAAACAAAAATTCAATGAAAAAAAATGTCGATGATGATGAAATAAATATCATACACACACACACAGAGACAAAAACAGAAGGAATCTGACAATGATAAATGATGCCATAGGAGAAAAAAAACAAAATCAATCATGCTTCACACACACACACACACACACACACACACACAGAAATAAACTCATCATTATGGAAAAAAAAAAAAATTTAAACATATTTCTCACATCCAAAAGAAAAAAAAAACATTGGTTGTCAAATTTTTATTTTATTGTGTACGTGCAGCACACACATGCATATATGCATATATATATATGTTTTATTTGTAATAGATGTATAAATGTGATTTCCTGGAGTGCCCATATATTCAAAACAAAAATATAAA